GCCACTGCCGAGTCACACAATACTTCGACCCTGGCACGAGATCAATCTCGTGCCGAACACCGCGGTCCGCAGGAAGTTCAGCCGGGATCTTGTCCGGGAACACGTCTGCATACTCACGAGCAATGTCGTAGACGGGGTTACCAGACTCTCGCAGGGCCTCCCATGACTGTGATGCAAACCTTTCTTCACGCGCAGACTTCGGCTCAGCGCTTCGAGGACGCGCCATATGCTCCACGTTTGCCACGGTAACCACCTCGTTGGTGATTAGACACACTTGTTCCACAGTGCCTCCCTTAAGGTCACGTAGGAAATGCTTCCAGGAAAGCCATGGAAGGCTTGTAATGGAGGACGCGTGACGAGGAGGACTCTCGACCTTGATATATTGGCGCCTTTGTGGACTCCCTTCCACGTACACGATAGCGTGGACACATTCCAACGCTAAATTCTCGGTGCTGTTGTCCCCATCGTGCTTCGAGTCACTACTCGAAGCTGGCGAGCCGCAGTCAGGTGGTAAACCATCACCCCCCTCTAGGCACTGGATGTCGTCATCCAAGATGCCGGAAACACTGGACGGGAGTACCCCAAACTCGACTGTCGACACTTGATGCGGGATCTCCTGCTCGGCCGCCGTAAACCCGTGTGGGAGCCCCTGCTCAACCACAGTATGCCCATGTGGGAACCTCGGTTCGACCCCAGTGGGTGATGATGGGAACCCCGGTTCGACCATCATGCTCTCGCGTGGGGACTCCTGTCCTTCCACGTTGTACTCGTGTGGGAGCCCCTGCTCGACCACAATATGCCCATGTGGGAACCTCGGTTCGACCACAGTGGGTGATGATGGGAACCCCGGTTCGACCATCATGCTCTCGCGTGGGGACTCCTGTTCGTCCACGTCACACTCGCTGGCGATCTCTTGCTCGTCGCCACAATGCCATTGTTGGAGCCCCTGCTCGACCACAATAGGTGCAGATGGGAACCCCGGTTCAACCACTGCATTCACGTGCGGGAACCTCTGTTCAACCGCATTAATGACGCGCGGGAACCCCTGTTCGACCGCGTCGTCCTCGTCGTCCTCTTCGCTCTGTAGCGAGGAGTCACTGTCACTTGTGTCTCGAAGAACAGCACAAGCAGTGCAGAGAGGGCCATCGCTCGCTCTGTGCACCGCCAACGTCGTGGAATCACGATCCACGACTGTGACGTTCGGCCAGTCACTTGGAGATACCAAGAGATGGGTAAACACTTCACTGACATCGAGCTTGCGTCGACGTCTCACTGATCTGGCTAACCAGTCGATCTGGGGCTTATAACGTGCCAACCATGGCATGCCCAGTATGCAATCGAATGCATAATTCATTGCGATCACCAAGAAATCATCATTACTGCGAAAGCCATCAAACGTATACGGCAACGACACTTCGGGCCGCGATACGCGGTGTGGTTTCCCGTCAGCCAACTTGACGACGACTTGGCCAGGTCCCTCACGGACCTGAATGCTGGGAGGCAGCATCGACAAACAAGATTCACGAAAGAAATTGTTTGTTGCTCCTGAGTCCAGGAGTGCTCGCAGAGGTCGCCGGACGCCGGCGACATGTAAACTGACAATAATCAGACGTGAATCACCACTCGTAGTGGTGGCATTTAACCGTGCGCGTAGCGCAGGAGGACTGGAAGATTGGGCTGCCACCGGGGGACCCGGACCTCCGTTCCAACCAGTAGGGCGCCCTGCACCTACTGGTCCCGACCGTTTTTTGGACGTGCGGCCGGTACAGCACCCTCATGATGGGCGTCCACTACTTGCACCGATAATGGGGCTGGCGCACGGCACTCTGCCGCGCGATGTCCTGGCTTGCGACAACGAAAGCAAACCATTGGACGCCCGGTGCGAGCGTCACCTTTATGATGAAAGACACGTCGTCGATCATCCGGCGACTCAATCACGTCGATCTCCATAGGTTCTGGACCAGAAGGCCGGGGAACGCTTACGACCGAGGGTTTGGCATATGCCTTTGTGACCCTAAAGTCTTCACGGAGTGCGATGGCAAATGCCTCCTCCAATGTGGTAGGCTCGGCGCGCTCCAGCGATAACGGGTCTGCCCCTCACGCATACCATCCACAAAGACATTCACCTGCGTGTACATGTCCATGGGGTGCGTGATAATACACGACGCCAGATGCCTAGCCATTTGTACGTAGTCGCGCATCGCCATTTTACCCTGTCGCATCGACAGGAATCTTGATCGCACCAGTTTCTCCTCTTGTGGTGGCTCGAAGGCAAGACGGAGATCGTCCTGGATGGTATCCAAGGTGGGGAATGCGTGCTCGTCCACAACAAGCTTACCAAGGGCCCACTTCTTGGCCTTCCTGGTGAGGCGGGAAAGAAGAAAGTTGACCTTCGCCTGTGGAGCCTCAAGAAGTCTCGAGGCGATGGCGATATCAACTTCTCGGAACCATCGATTCAGCGATAACCGGTCCTTACCTTCTCCAGAGTAGGAGGAGGTTTTCATCTTCACGGCCTCATTACGTGAAGGGCGCGAGGGAGTTAAGGCTCGCCGGTTAGATTCGGCGAGCTCGCGTGCCATAAACTCATGTATGGCGAGACGTTGCGCGTCAGGGGTCGCTGATCTCATCAACGACGCGACGAATGCCTCTCCCGATATCGCCGCGAGGCGATTAAGGGCATCCCACTCAACACCAGTAAGATGGGGGAAGGTCGCGTGCTCCAGAAATAAATCTGGAGCGTCAAAGTACGACGATTCGCTCATCCCAAACTCGGGCATAGGAAGGACTACAAAGTGCTACCAGGTGTAACGGGGCTTGAACGTACCGTCACTAGCTTAGACGTGCGCTTGAGGAAGACTCAAGCCCAAGTATTAGGTATTAAGTAAATTTAACTCTGATTTTTATTTTGGTTTTAATTCGTACTAATTACGAAGATTTTAGTCGTAATAAATACGACAGTGTTCCCGCCTTTCGGGAACCACACCATTTCAGGTGATTTATCATTGGTACATATTGGGGACTTTAGGCCCAATAATGAACCAATAATAAATTACCACGCTGTGCCCGCTATTCGGGCCCAGCACCTGCCTACATATGTAATTGTTTATTTGTATTAATACTATATGTGTAATGTAGCCCATTACAGGTTCAGTACGATACAGCTAACGAGGTATCGTACGTGTTGGGCGTAAGCGTGTATATCACGCTTACCCTGTTTCAAATCCAGGAGCTCAGCCCGAGCCCTGAATTCAGCGCGAGGCGGTTCAAACGTGTGTTTGAGTCGCGCCTTGAAGACGTCATACGTTGGAAAAACGTATGGGTCGTGCAGTTTGAGCCCTAAGGCCCAAGCTTTGGCACGTCCTGCCAAGTTCGACATGGCGAGCTTGACCTTCATCGCATCGTCATCGATGCGACGAGCCTCAATGGCATCGTCGAGCTCGACGAACCATCTTAACAAGGAGTCGCTTTCGACTGCCTTGTACTTGGAGACATCAATCTTCAAGGACTCGGGTCGACGTATATACGTCGACCCGGCAGCAACAGCACTAGCCTGCTGTTGTCTCAACAGTTCAGACTGTTGAGCACCCTGCTGCATCAACAAGTCAGCTTGTTGAGCGCCTTGTTCTCTCAACAGTTCAACCTGTTAAGAACCTTGCTCCTCTAGCAAGGTGAGTTTCTTTACAACTTCGTCAAGTTCATGTTGTATGAACTTGGCTATGGTTGCATGTTGGTCGTCTCCGCTAAGGGAGAGCAACATGGCACCAACGGCAGGGTTGCCGATGGTTTCAGCCATACGCTGAACCGCATTCCATTCGAGGTCACTCAAATGGCGGAAGTCATCACGCGTTGCGTGATGACGTTCATCACCCGCTATTTTCATAGCGGGAGGTGCGGTGGTCGCTGAATGGACCACGAAGTGCTACCAGGTGTAATGGGGCACCCTCCGACTATACTGATTACAGTATAGTCTACTTTCACTGATTACAGTGAAAGCAGGTGCCTCAATTACCTCTCTTACACAAGAGGCAGAGGAAGCTTTACTTCTAAACAAACGCTTAGAAGTAGAGGAAAAGAAAAACTGTATTTAATATAGTTAACTATCTTAATAAAACTAATCTGTTATAACCTATGTTAACTATATTAAACTACAACTATGTATGTTGACAACTTGCCCTCCACTCATTGCGCGCGTCCATCGGTCATTGGTCAGCGCGTTGATTGATATGATGGCCCATATCAACCAATGAGAGGGCATCTCCAACTTCAAGGAGATCTAGGAACAATATTATTAAAAAGGTAATATTGTGAAAAATATTATTAGTTATAATAATATTTTTATTGACACTTCATATAAGTGTCAATATTATGTAACGGGCTCGCCCCGTTACAATTATGGTACACACAATTGCAAAGGCCTTCATATCGTTGACTTTCCATGTTGACGCGTAGCGTCACCTTCACTCGAGGCCTCCGTCGCGTCGATGTGTTACAACAGTCCAATCTTAGCGAGTTTCATCCGTGCGTTAAACACCCATGCGGTATAGTTATCTTCATTCAAGACATCGTTTGTCTCAGCCGTATTGGGCTCATAACCTATTGTTTATTCACTTACAGAGGGTTAAATTTGAATGAGGAAGTCAATGGAAAAGTATATTAGCTCTTATAAAAAAACTACAATTTTTTTAGCCAATCAATTTATGCTTGGAAAGAGCAATGTAGAAAGTTCTTCTGTAGGCTATTTATTTCAGAGTCCCCAACATCTGCCAGTGGTGTCGTCCACTCTAAACAGTGTTAATCACATCAGCACACCGCTTTAAGCATCCGCTGCCAACATACAGTATGTATCTGTGGTGCATCACAAAACCAAAAAAACGACTCGACAGTCTATAAATCACATTTATTACACAAAATCTTGTGATAAGAGGTTTATTTCATAAACTTATTGAAAAATCTGGTAAACAACCCCCTTGGCTATTAAATTGCCTGAAAATTATATAAATATGAATGTCCTTGAAAGTCGTGAAGCATCGCTCCGGTTCAAGTTATTAGGCTCGTCACCATCTCCATCTTCTTCAACTACGCTCATCGATCGTCTTTGCAGTCTTCAGACGCAATTGGATCAACTTACTGCAGCTGTATCCGGGTCCGCCAAACTTCGTGAACTCTGTACGTACCATGGAATACCGATAAAACTTTCAAGAAATATTTATATCGTCTTTGCTGCAGACCAAGAGACTTCTGGCCAGTTACAGCTCACGTTTGCCAATGCATTCATCCACAGCAGCTCCCGAGTTGGTGACGAGCTTAAACGTGCGGCTATTTTAAGTTCTGCAGACCGTCTGCAGCAGGTTTCAGCTCAATTGCAGCAGCTTCAACAATTAACGAGCATCTTGGACCAACTACGAGCCCCCGACGTCCAGCAGCAGACACAATTGATGCAAATTGAGACCAGTTGTGATCTACAGAGTGAACGGGCCTTGGCTCTTCACTCAAGAGTGGAGAAGATGCTGATAATGTACCAGCACTTGGTGCTCGTATTGTCTGAGAAATGCGTCGAGTACAACGCACTGCTGGATCAGATGCAAACTTAAAAGGGAAATAATACGCTGGACTGTTCGACAAAAGAAGGAACTCTTCTTCTGCGGGTAGTAATGTGTGGAGGACTCTATAGCGTGGACCTTGGTGACCTCGTAGCATGACAGACAAATAAAGGGTATTATTGCTATCGTCGCAGCAGAAATATCTTTTGTATTGAAAAGTACTGGATAGTTTACGTATTGCAGGTGTCTTGTGGATCCACTTGCTGACGAATAGAGTCAAGGAAGACAATATGGTACAGGTAAGTCTTAGCCGAAAGTATTTGCAGGAGCGACATGTCGTCTGCAGCCGCGACATCGAACTGGGCTGCGGCGTCAAGGAACGTCATCGCGTCCAGCTTGTCATAGCTCACACCCGTCATTTCGTGGAACTTGCGGATACGGAAGTCACGTGCGAGTTTGTTCACCGTAATCCCGTCAGGCGACTTTATTGTGTCTTGGTCCACAACATTCGCGTTAAGCTCCGAGTCTGACGTCATACTGCGTCGATTCCAGTTGGCAGATCCAATGGACAAGTACACGTCGTCGATAATGACAATTTTGCTGTGAATGTAGAGGTTCAACTTACGTTTGGTGGTGTACACCTTGAACTTGTTTGGGTATTTCTTCTTCAGAGGTGACACCATATCGTAGAAGTATTTTTCATAGCCACTGTACACGACGTTGCCCACGGGAGCCTGTACGACCACTATCACGTGCTGCAGTCTCGGCATCACCATTAAGAGAGCGTCAAGCAGTTCAGGTACGAGGATGAAATACTGGTCTTCGATGTAAATGTAATTACGGGCATTCTGGATAGCCTTGATACGCGCCTGCAATAACGATGTTTCGCCATGCGGAGCAAACTCTGTATAATGCTCGTACTTGCAACTAAAGGTTCGGACAATCTGCACGCTCTGTTTTCCAAGCGTTGACTTGTTCGTACTACTAGCGTAGTCAAGGGGATCGAGTTTGTAATAGGGAGGATTGTTAAAGCTGAGCATGTCATCTTCTAATCCCCGGGTTGGCATATAGTCCGAGTTCCAGCGAGAAAGGTGGTTACTCGCCACATCTTTGGCTGCGGGCCCATGAATACGAATATGACCGTCTATCCAGCCCTTGAATCTCATGGTGATACCGGCAGCATCACGAAGAGCTGAGCTGTTGTGGTAAATGTTGTCCCAACGATCGTGAGGTCAAGTCCTCCCACGTACGCAACCGGATGATCATCGTGCCCGGACGAGCTGGTAGCTGCAATGACAATCGTCTTTTGGTGATGAGATGATGAAATCGTGCTCAAACGATCATCGAAGATGAATAACGCACGAGCATCGTTGACCGGAGATGGAGGAAGGGAGTTGATAACGTTACGAACCTCAACGCTACTTCGCTCCAGCAGATTGGCCCAAGACAGGATGTTGACTTGACCACCTCGCTCGACGATCCCTGCAAACACCTTTTGATATCCGGTGGTAGCACCTGAAACATCTACATCGGGTTTGAGCGGTATGAGCTTAGAATCCCACGTCGCTATCAAAACGCGCTGACCATCTCCTACTACTGATAGGTCGTCGTAGACGCTATTGAAAAATTCATTTGGTACGGTGAAGGACGTGATGGCATTTTCTTCCGTGTATACAGAAAGACCGTCTCGAGGTGCCCCACCACGCGAGTAAGTGATCTCCTGCTCCGTAAGAAACCAGTCCTTGGCCTCGGTAAGAGGCTGGTCGATTGCCACATTCGAGCCGTCAGAGAGATCGATACGATTGCGATCATCCTGTGCCATTGTTAACGATACGAGTGCTGCTACAAACAGTATTACAGCGCAAGAAAAAACATTGGAAAAGTTTGTCACGCTTTGTGGAACTAACATATCGATGGAGATATGGCAAAATGAAAACTGAAGCGTGCAACATATCTTCACTACAGGACCACTACAGGAATAAAATGTAGTACCATTGCGATTTATCAGCTGGTCAAGATTCGACTGCATGCAAATTGTATTGTATCGGGATATACCCATGTGTAATGGATGTGCAAGTTCTTTTGGTCCAAGTAACGACGCGATCATTCTCCTCCCCGTTTTCTCCATCTGTTGGCTCGATACTTATAATGCCACGGGGCTACATCTCCAATGTCATACGTCGATCAACTTTTTAGGTGCTAGAAATGCGCACATTTGAGCGGATGAGTTAGCGCGCTCGGAGCGATCTACTTTCAGGGGACAGAGAGGACGCATCGTCTACCAGTAATGAAGTCTATGATGATGTAAATTCTGAGTTCGCCGAAGGTCGGCGACTTGAAGAAAGTTTTTGAGGGTACAAAGTGACCTTGATGCAGAAATGTTACGAAACTATGCCGAGGCCTAACACCCTAGGCACACATGGTAAAAGGAGGGCGGTTGCCGTCCGTCTCTGTCTATTGTCGCGTTTCGGAAGTGACGAGAGAGAAACAGACTGTCTATTTACCGTTATGGTTGACAAGATTCCTGAAATGTATGCAACCACTCGTATGGACTGCATACATATCTAGATTTCGCGCAATGATCATGACTTAGACTTTCAAATGAAAACCAAATAGCATACCAGCACAACCTCCCTTTTATAATAGGATGGTCTAGTCAATACGGGCGTCTCGGTTGGAACCCGATACGGCGTCCTAATGGATTGAGCTCGCTCATTACTCGATCAGTATTAACACGGGTCAAACCGATGCGACACCAAACAATCTCCAAAAACGGTCACATTAACCAACTTTCCTCGTTCATGCCATGTTCTGGGTATTAGCTTTTGTCTGAAAAGGAAAGGTTCCTTCGTTCGCTAGACAAAGTATCGTTAGCTAGTGTGCAACTTCATGATACCTTTGTGGCTGCTGTGGCCGGCTCATTCATGTTTTTGGGTTCGGCCATGCGGTATCGACGCCGAGTTGCCTCCCGATTCTTCACATACTTGCATTAAGTGACTTGTCGAACTTCTGAACGGGACTGTCGACGTCATTGAAGCACACTTGTTTGGGAAGGGGGGGGGGGTCGCGTCTCAGCCGCTTCATATATCCATAAGGTAAAGACCGAGGATAGTAGAGGTTGGTTATTTAAAACGTAGTGGTCCGAACATCTGCGCGCTGTGGCTACCACCTACGTGAAGACCAAACAGTTGCTGGTGCAGCCCGGCGCACGAGCTTCGAAATGACGACGGGCGCTGAAAAGGATGTGCTTTTCCATGATTACGAAGCTGTTCGAGGAAGTACAATTGTGTTGATTCTTATCGCACTCTTTATGAGTTACATGGTGTTGTAAGTAGCTGAAAAGGCTATGAGTGTGCTTCGCTTTCTTGTTTAACCCCGTAACAGACCGGAGAAACATTACAAAAGGTATTACATATAAGCAATGCAATTATCATTGTTGTCGTCATTCAGGATCATATAGTTGATGCTAAACTTTACGACGGGTATAATACCTCCCGCGTCTTCACGACGGAGGAGTACATAGGCTTCGTGCCATGCAGGACATTATGGTAGCAAACCAAGTCGAGCTCATAGCGTTCTCATCCGTACTAGCCCCATTGTAGCCGATTAGATGTCAATTTACTAAGCTTTCTAAAAGTCGACATGTACCACCTCTATTGAAGGTCTCTGATAAATTTTGAATTCCGAAAAGTGCATACCTCCTGCGGATCAACCTGCCCACGGATCGTGTCGATAGGCGTGTGGAAATACCAGGTGTCCTTGACGACGAAGTTCATGATAATACTCGACTCGTCTATTGCAGCCAACCTGAACTGGTCCGCTGCGTCAATGAATTTCATCTTGTTTAGCTTATCGTAGCTCAGCCCAGTCATCTCCATGAATTTGCGGATACGCATGTCACGAGCCAGCTTCAGGACCGTGATACCGTCTGGCGACTCGACTGTCTCATCGTCGACCACATTCGTGTTAAGCTCAGAGTCCGATGTCATACTGCGACGGTTCCAGTTGGCCGATCCAAGCGATACGTATACGTCGTCGATGATCACGAGCTTGGTGTGGACGTAAAGATTGAGTTCTGTTTTAGGCGTGTAAATCTGCACTTTGTTAGGAAACATCTTCTTCATCGGGTTTATCATATCATAGACGTATTTCTCGTACCCTGCAGGCTTAAGAAGCGCAATAGAAGGCTGAAGAACCACCACAAGTCGCTGTAATCTTGGTAGCACTTCCATGAGAGCATCGAACAGCTCGGGTACGTAAGTGAAGTACTGATCCTCGATGTAGATGAAATTCTTGGCGTTCTTAAGTGCTTTAATGCGGGCTTTGAGAAGCGACTGTTCTCCCCGTGGTGCAAACTCTTTGTAGTGTTTGTAGATACAGCTGAACGTTCGAACGATCTGAACGTTCTGGTTGCCGAGCTTTGACGAGGTATTACTGCTTGCATAGTCGATCGGTGGAAGCTTCTCATAATCCGGATTTGTAAAGCGAAAGAGACTATCGTCAATCCCAGTCGATGGTTTATAATCTGAATTCCACCGCTGAAGAAAGTTGGCAGCAATTCCTTTTGCCGCTGGGCCGTGGATTCGTAAGTGCGCATCAATCCAACCTTTGCTGCGAAAAAAGATGTGAGCAGCTTCGCGTAAGACGGAGTTGTTGTGGTATATAGTATCCCATCGATCATTAGTGAGGTCAATACCACCGACATATGCAATAGGATGTTCGTCTTTACCAGTAGACTTGTTCTTTGCAATGATGGTTCCCTTTTGGTGGTGCGAAGATGTCAAGAGCGGGACTCTATCGTCGAAGATGTAGATCGCCTTGGCACCATTGACCAGAGACGGCGAAATTTCATTGATAGCGTCACGCGCTTTGATATTCTGGGCAGGAAACAAATGGTTGGTCCACGACAAGATGTTGACGCTGCCACCACGCTCGACGATGCCCTTGAAAACAACGTCGAAGCGAGTCGTTTTGCCTGTGGGGTCGATGTCCGCTTCGAGCGGAATGAGACACGTATCCCATGCAGCGTGCAATACACGGTCACCCTCCTTGGTAGCGTGTAATTCCTTACTAATTGCAGAATAGAACTCGTTTGTCACAGTGTAGACCGTGACCTTGTTGCCGGATGTGTATGTCTCCAGCCCGTTGCGAGGGATTCCACCTCGAGATGCAGTGATTTCCTTCTCCGTGAGAAACCAATCCATAGGCTTAAGCAAAGGTTGCCTCACATTGATGTCAGTGCCATCCGATAAATCAACGTACTCGTCCTCACGGTATTTGGAATCTTTTCTCAAATTTGTCTCGTCGGAAGCATCATCGAAAAAAAAGTTAAAGGACCATGCGGTTGATAGTGTCGGTAGGATGGTTAACACATACAGTAATGCCAAAGCAAGTCTCGTGCTGCGTCGTGGAGTACAAACATCCATTCTCGGATTCCCCACAGTCATCGACAATGTGCTGCTCGAAGGAAAAAAGAGATATGAGGTGGTGTCTACATACGGCATGGAAGCACCATTCAATAGGTACGCAAATCGCTGATCGCTTCTGATGATATTTCAATTACACACAAAGTCGACGTCCGCGAAGCAAGACCTGACTTTGTAGTAGAGATAGTCTCGTATAATCTAGTGTAGCTTCAGATTGGTTGCATGCTGTTGAGTAAATTGCCATTCGTCTTCCAGACACGAGCGTTTTTCGAGCGGTGCATGCGATTACAGAGGAAGACGGATGGCAAAAAGCTGCAGAGATTCGCCCTTGGTACATGTCTAAGAGTGAGAGGCAGTTGACACTTCAACTTCAAGCTGATCGGATAAGGGCAGAGGATGTCCCAATCATGCGATAATAACGTGGGGGGCATGGGTATGTATGCATCTCGTTTCCTACAAAACACTTAGCTAGTGAGCAATGTATGCAGAAATAGAGAGATGGTACTACGACTTTTTACGCTTAATGATGATCAGACTGTCTATCCAATGTTTTAGATTGTTTAAGATATGTCTGTGATGAAAATCCTTTGATTTTTTGCCATGACTAGGTCGTTCTCCTAGACACTAGCTAATTCTACTGGCTTGACCCGACGGACTTCATGAGGGACACTTTAATAGAGCACGTAAGACCGTTTGAGCAAATTCGAGTACATGCAGGGGGCAGGTGGCGCTTTGAAAGTGAGACCGTGTACTTAACTGGCTGTTCCAGACGGGCCAGCCAGACTGATCCCTGACAAGCAGCTCCGGTCGGAATCACGTTCTAGGGGAGTTCGCTTCGTGAAACCGGAAGTCGCGCGCGGCGAACGGGTCGGCGACTAGGAGGCGAACGGATAAGGGCAGGAACTTAAAGATGCTTTGTCGACATGCCCCACACCTCGGGATTTTGTGCCTATTGCTCCCTGCCAGGTTCGCACGCTGTGCAGCCTCCCGTGACATGCAGCGGAGAGAAGGCCTCCCGTTTCAACCTTGACCCCGTGATGGGGGATTTTTTTGCCCATGGTATGAGTTTTCATGTCAAGTAAAGTGATGTGAATAACTGCAACTGTCCAAGCAATTGGTGCTGATTGTCGCACAAAGCTTAATGCATTGCACAAGAGACGCTTAAGAGAGTGCGTCGTTGCAATACTCATCAAAGGAATAACGCATTTGTTCTTACTTTGTTATCAGTGAACAGTAAGACTATGAAACCTTCGCTACCATCGCCTAAACGAAGGACGAGGTCACATTCGTCTTTACTCTCGGACGCACCAGCTACATACTCAATAATGAGTAGACTACGTCCATCTCGAGCTTTTTTTAATTGACTTTGGAAAAGGTGGATGAGTGCGATGCCAATTCTAGAAATAAAAAATCTTAACAAAAAGTGTGGGAACGATCAGCTCATTGAGAGACCATGCAGCGACTAAAGCAGGGATCTTTGAGACCAGATTATAGCTATGATGCGCTCATAGCTTCAACACTTGAGTCGAAGCAGCAGATTTACTCGAACGAGGACTTCTAGGCCACTGGTTCGGCAGTGAATGGCCGAGCCCTGCCGCTGCATATTCTGCCCCCAGCCGAGAAATATCGAGCGGTTGTGATAGTTGGCATCGCTTGCATAAAGAAACGTGCATTGTTAACGAGTGCATACTTACGCGCATGGCCGTTCGACCATCTAGCCGGAGCTGATCGCTTCATGACTCATACATTCTATGGGACACGTCCGTGTAAAGTAAAGGGGGTCTCAAGAAATATCTGCCTTCAAGCCTTCAAAACTTAAACGATAAGAGGAAGGTATATGTCGTGTGTAGCACCATTTTGCGACAACCGCATGATGAAATTATCTCGTAGAGCCGACCAACGACAAAGCGCAGGGACTCACTTCCCAATTCGAGCCTTCGAGCAACAACGGCCAAGAGACGAAGACCTTCAAAGAGCCGGTCAACCGGCCCCCTCCGACCAGGGCGGGAAGTCCCTCCAACGGGAGGCCCAGGATAAGAGGGGGGAGGTTTTCCCTCTGCTGCGTGCGCTATGGGGGGCAAGCGCAGCGTTGCGAACCGTAAGGGGAGCACCAACCCTGTTACCCCCGGGGGGAGAGGATCGATGACCGCGGTTATCATTCCCTCTTTCCCCAATAGTTCCTGCTATTCTACGTCAGCCTTCAAGCCGCCGATTCGATCGCCGAGCGCGAATCTCGGTCCCACGAAGTGAACTTGCCAAGAACGTAAATTGATCGGCCCCGTCCAGGTGCATCAGCGGTCGATCGGGACTGATCGGTGTGGTGCCCGGCGCTTGTTGCGATCATTGAGCCACTGTTTACACCTCGGGCTGGATACCCGATTCCACGTGCCCTTTTCGGAGTGTCCCCCGTGACGCCCGACGTCTCGAGCCAGCAGATTGAGCCAGCGAGGCGAAGAATGACGAAGTCCTGGTAGAAGCACTCCAGACATCTTACCAATCCTTAATGTTTGAAATAGACGGTCTGTTCTTCTCTCACAAAGCGCAGGGACTGTTTTTTTCAATGTCGACGCGCGAAATCCGCGGTGATTCTTTCATCGGATGGGAGGGACCGATACATGCGTAACATCTGCTGTCGATGTCGATTGCAGTCCGCATTGAATAAATCAAGAAATCATGACATTGTCTTGCCTTCACATGACGGAATGTATTCTGTTGTACACCTCTACGATGCAGGTTGCATATACTCACCCACGTCTACGGCTGCCTTAACGAGGTTGAGCCTAAAGTATAATGTCTTCTCGACAAAGAAATCTTGACGTGGGTGTCATTTTCAAACTGACAGTGTTCATACAAAGATCTGTCGCAAATGCTAATTTACTCGGCTAGGATGTAGGCCAGTTTAAGTCGATCTGGTTGATCAAATGACGATTCTGAAGTCGCTTCAAGCTCGTTCTTCCATGAATCACTAACGTCCAGCCAGTCATTACTTTGAGAAGTACTAAATCGCTCGCAGCTTTCCGTTGTCACTTCCTTCACATCAGCAAGTTGGCGTCCGTCATTCTTATTGCCAATCATGTGATCCTTCTCAATCAGTGCGTTTTCCATTACGTACGCCACTAGCTCCGGACGTTTCAATGCTTCTGTCAACCCACCAATAAAGTTTATCTCGGGAGTATACCACTCAATCTTGCCATTTCGATTAAAATGAAAGTGGTTGATGCACGGGTACGTCACTTCCTGCCCGATAAGCAATTGCATCAATCCTTCATCTCCCACCAAGTGCGGGAACACCTCCTCGATCGTACGTCGAGAAATCCGTACGCGCAAGTCCGCCGTGATGGTGACCACCAGCGAGCTGCCATTACACGGAGTCAGGTCTCCAGGCTCCGTCAGCTCGATCACTTTCAGTGACTTCATTGTCCACTTGATGGCCGCGTGGTACAGTGAATAGCGTTCCCACTGGTGAAACAAAAGACCGACACCATAAAATTCACCAAACCGCAAGTCAGCATTCATCACGGCCTGTAAAAACCCTCGTTGGGTATTACTGACATGCGCAACAAGTGATGCCGACACGTCCTGGTCGTCCACGGTCAAGCGAACAGGTGCACCGTGGTTAAAGAGTGAGCAATACTCGTTCACAATGTTAGCAGCTGCACCAAGAGGAGTAAATCGTTGGGACAAGGCCAACTCCTGCTGCACCTGACGAGAGACCGTTAACGCTGCGATTTCTTCGTGAAGGGCCGCGACACGTTCTTCAAGGTGTGCACTATAGAGTTTACGTCTACGTCGGTAATATTTCCCCCGTTCACTGTTGGACATAGTTTTGAGGTTGGCTGGACGTGATACTGTGTACGTCATGGGGGGAGGGAGGTATCGACTTTTTTGGAAGACTCAAGAGGACGACGAAGTACTTCGAATAGTTTTTTTTCCTAATTGGAAATGGTGATTACCAACAACAACAATAAAAATCGAGTTTTACAGAAACTCTAGAATGTAATAATACTTTTTTGTCAGTCGGCTTTAGAATGAAAGTGCGTTATGGATGACGACGCAAGGTAAAGAGTGAACAGACATCAGGTGGTATGTAGCAATCACGTGTAAGACTAAAGAATAAACAAGGCTATATCACGTGAAGAGCTAAATACATAAAGGGCACAGCTTAAGTTAAATGCTAGCAATTTGGTTTTCCTTTTTCTGCTTACAGATTTGGCAACGATCGATTTTTTTTATAAAATTGTCATGTAAGACGTCATCGTCGTGAAGCCATGGACTGTATTGTTTCGTCATGCAGAAGACAAGCATTCAGCAATTTGCATTATTTGAAGTAGAGTGACACGCGTGTTCTTTGTTCGTCGCATATGATATCTAAATATTTGGTATTTTAAATTTGTAGGGTTTTTATAACATCTACAACATGAATAGCCTCGAAGTGGTCGAAATATCATTTAGAATTCACTCCACCCGTAAATCATAGATTTAATACAACCTGGTCCAATGATTCCAAAACGGTAAGGCTCGATTGCTTTCGATCCAGAATTTGCTGTTGTAGTTTGCAGCTTGTGCTTGCACGCCGTGTGGGAAACGGTCGGGAAGACTGCTACATGTCGACATGTACCACAGCACCCTTTGTTAAGCTATGAGACAGATTATTCAGCTGTCTTTGGTTCTAAATCAGGTGACGAATTATTGTTCCTTCGATTGCTGTCACAAAAAAAGACAAGTTGCGTAGGTAGCAGCATTCCTTCAAGTCACAAAGATGCTAGCTCTACGAATAAATATACATGTATAGTGATCTAGAAGATGATTGGAATGAACTTGCCACCACGCATCACTATCACTATATAATTAATGCTATGCTATGTATTTATGTCAGCGGCGTACCTTGACGTATTCCTATACCACCCGTGACCGTTATACTCTGCTTCTTTCACCTTCTACACCTTGTCGACTTTTACTTAAGGAACGTCCGTTGTACATTCCACTACTTGCTCTTATCTTCATGCATATATTTTGCCATTCGGCATGCAGGAAGATAGTCACGATATTGCCGACCTGCGTCCATGAACTGAACGAAGGCCTTAGTCGTCAAGAAACACCGTGTCTCTCCGTATGACGACTCTCGTCCAGCCACCCTCAAAACTATGTCCAACAGTGAACGGGGGAAGTATTACCGACGTAGACGTAAACTATACAGTGCACACCTTGAAGACCGTGTCGCGGCCGTTCACGAAGAAATCGCAGCGTTAACGGTCTCTCGTCAGGTGCAGCAGGAGTTGGCCTTGTCCCAACGATTTACTCCTCTTGGTGCAGCTGCTAACATTGTGAACGAGTATTGCTCACTCTTTAACCACGGTGCACCTGTTCGCTTGACCGTGGACGACCAGGACGTGTCGGCATCACTTGTTGCGCATGTCAGTAATACCCAACGAGGGTTTTTACAGGCCGTGATGAATGCTGACTTGCGGTTTGGTGAATTTTATGGTGTCGGTCTTTTGTTTCACCAGTGGGAACGCTATTCACTGTACCACGCGGCCATCAAGTGGACAATGAAGACACTGAAAGTGATCAAGCTGACGGAGCCTGGAGACCTGACTCCATGCAGTGGCAGCTCGCTGGTGGTCACCATCACGGCGGACCTTACGTAATTCAAGTCCGTTTGCAGCAGCGGTTCACTACGATTTAGAACTTAACCGACGCTTTGTCAGTCGCTGGAATATCCAGTTGCTGCGACTGATTAAGATGAGGTTTTCGTCACCACCCATTGCGACGGTTAAGTCCTTGAATATGCCGTCATTTGGCTACAACCTTGTACTTGAGTCCTTGTAACGTTCGAGGCTGCTGACCGGTCAGTATTCAGTCCGAGTGTTCTCGTCCTTTACCTAAACAGCAGCCAGCTCGTGTCCGTCATTTTTGTTGCCAATCATGTGATCCTTCTTCATCATGGCTTTGGCTATGACGCGCGTCATCAGCTGCGGACGCCTGTTGTTACCCTTACACAAAAACGTCACCTTGGACATATACCACTTGATCTTGCCGTTATAGTTAAAATAAAAAGTGGTTGATGCACGGGTACGACACCTCCTGTCCCATTAGCAATTGCATTTATTCTGCATCTCCCATCAAGTGTGGGAACACCTCCTCGTTCATACGTCGAGATATCCGTACACGTGACGTGTATTGTAAATGTATTTCAAAGTGACGACGAGAAAACGATCCGGATACAATAGAAAAGCCAATCTAACATGCGACACCTTCTGATGTCGAGACGTTTTGCCCGTAAGCACAAACCTGCTGGCAGAAGCTCATCTGCCTCTGCACAAGTGAACGATGAGAACTTGGACGGCTCGAAAACGTCTTTGCAAACAGTGCAAGCAGACGCACGCCAGGACTATCGAAGGTGGTCCAGAAACAGCTCATCAGACACCACCCAGACGAGGTGGTCGCATACACCGCCGTAAGGAAACGCATAAGGCATAATCTCAGCAGCGTTTGCATCACCAGTTTTTGGATAATATGCAACTGAATAACGTTCCAGCAAGCGGACGTGACCACCTCTGGCAGTCAAAATACTAGGTGCATGAAACAACTTCGAGTCGTAGCGAAACGAAAGTGTCGGCGAACCGACACGGAAAGACAAGGAACCCGTTTGATGCTATGTCAACGTGCTATAACCAGACAACCTTACGAGCTGTCATTGTAATGACAAGCCCCGTCCAACCACCGGACTCGAACGAGAGACCGGCTAAGGAAGTACCATACATTATGCAACCACTAAACGGTAATATCGACTCGTCTAGCTTTCTTGCATTTGATGTCGAGACGTTTGCATTTGATTTCACACTGCGATCGCCAATCGCTTTGAAAAGAGAACAGTTTTACCATTACGGCATTTGATACTACTACTGTGCGACAAATCAAGCAGGACAAATGATTATGAACGGTACCTAATTCTCAAGCCAATCAGCATTAAGTGCTCTCATTTTTATAGTCCTTTCATACCCAACTGTCCAAAAAAAGAGTATTTGAATACATCTATTTTTATAGCACAGGGACGTCGATGACGACCATGAATATCACTTTGAGATTCGACAAACGATAAGGTCAACGCATCGTAAAATCGTCGAAAAAATAACGTTTATAGCGACCATTGTTCCTTGTAGTTGCTATTGTAGAAATAACTCTTGACTGAACATGAACGACCATCGCATGAGCATCATGGCGCTTTGCAATGCCGAGGAGCCGGTGGTCTCGATCAATTCTTGTGCCACTGGAACATCGTCCCTTCCTCCTATTGTTCCCATGTATTGTTATACTGGTAACAACATCAAGCAGATTACAACTGCAGTTGTTAATGCCTCGAATGGCAAACCACCGACTAGAAAACGCTCCAATAGCGAACGTGGGAAGCTCTATCGCTCACGTCAAAAGAACTACGTGCAAACGCTCGAGAAGCACGTGAAGCAGCTTAAGAGAGAAGTTGACAACCTCGACCTTCGTGGTCATTCACGGCAGCGAGTTGCGACTTGGTCAATCAAACGCCAACCCATGGGTGCATCATTTGCCAGTGTCGTACACGAATACTTTTCGCTTTTCAAATATGGAGTGCCTGTGGCTAAGCAAGGTGGCGTCAGAAATCTTTCACAGGACCGGTTACTCTCGTCGAGCCAGGCAGGCTTTTTGAATGGGCTCATGCACCCGAACGTGGTGTTTGGTGGCTCGTACGGCATGCACGAGCTGCTGAACCAATGGGAGAAATACTCGTTGTATCATGCGGGGCTCAAGTACGAGGTCAAGTCCTTGCAAATTATGGCAGCGGACTTAAATTATGTGGTGCGTGCTTCCGCCACGCTTTGCGTGCGCTTTACACGTCGAACCATTGAGAAGATTTTTCCTCATTTGCTCTGGAACGAGGCGCTCGTGCAACGCCTTATTGGCAAGGAGTTCATATACCCTGTGAGTGACACCTTTTACTTTGGTGACGACAACAAGATTTATCGACTTGATACATACGTGGACTTTGTGGCCACTTTTGTGAAAGTACTGGGCAATATCGAGGACAGCATGACTATGATGGAGAGCGCACTTATTCGGCAGGAGTCCATGATCGGCGATCTGATCGAAGAACCGCGCAGCATCACGGTGGAAGAAACTAGCAGAACACGTTAACAAGTATTGCAAATCATGCTTACTTTTCTCGCGACAACGCCACGCATCGCTTGAAGGTATTTACTTGCTGACGACCAAGGCGCAGCGTTTCATAGGCTCGACCTTTTTCTAAGTCTAAAGGGCTGTATGTATTTTAAATCCATTAGTTGCAAGCACAACCGCATGAACACTCTCTATTGTCATGACGATGACGACCAAAACGTCACTTCGCTTTTTTGTAACCAGACGCCAGACGGCAATTTGACAGTGCATTACAACCTCAACATTCAAGAGGGATCGTGCAACTCTGGACCAGATTGTAAGGATGGTTTAAGGTCGACTAAAGTATTTGAATGCTCACCTGCATATGCAATGTATTCATTTGTTCTAGATACCCACCTGCGTCTTTGAATATTACTAACGAGGAGTTCAGATAAATTTTATACTTTTTATGCCATAGTTTATAGAGCTCTTTATTTTAAAGACGATTCTACCATGGGCTTGTACTCATTTCTTTGCGTGTAGATTGTGTTTTGCATACATATTTGATCTCGGTGACCTATTTTCTTTTATTCGCCAATAAGAATAAATTAATTACATGTACCCCTTAATTAATTACAATTCTCCATTTGCTAAAACTTCCATGTCGCGTGTCTTGTCCCTTCGTGGCGCCATCTTTACCTTCCATTGCCTGTCACCACGCGAGTGTCACGAGTTGACAGCTCTAATTTTGCACACCAATGGGAAACTTTACAATAAAGAACATGCTCGAAAACCCGGTATTGTTTACGTGATTACAAGCTTCTGGGCGGATTGCAAACCTGGTGCAGCATTCCAAGACGTCTCGTTCCAATTTGTGACGTCCTTTTGGCTGCATGAAATGCTACGACTAGGACATTGGCTTGATCCTGATAGTAATCAATTCTTTGAGCCTCCTCCAAGACCTAAAGATCTGTGGTTACACTATCCTTTGGATTATCACGATGTAGAAGATGTGGACAAGGACATCGATATGCAGGATACAAGTCTACATGCAACGTCACTAAGGGCACGACTTCCATGTTCACCTCATTTTCTATTTCGAGATCAAGTGCCGCTTTGGCCATACATTGCAGCATACCTGGCACAACCAATACACGACGTATATGAACTTACAGCTAGATTGCAATTGTACGAGCCTTAGTTGTTGAGATAAAGAGAGAGTAGTTGTAAACATTTTACATTGTTGTGTTTTTTTTCCTATGACAGATTGACGGTGTCTTCTCCAAGACGCAGATTTAATTGCTTGGAGTATGCGATGAACGAGGTTTATTGACGTGCTGTGTGATGATCCAATGTTGGCAATTGTACAATACGAATCTGACGTGTGTTATCAATGTGCTATATCTATCTGTAGTTGCTGACAATGGAAGAGCAAGACAAGTTTTTCACACACGTGCTGCCGGAAATGACAAGAATGGTGCTGGCTTTACCACAGATGTTTGCGATACCGCCGCCGCTATTGACCCCACAGGAAGCAGGCGGACAAGTCCATTCGTGTAGCGACAAATACGAAGCTGAGAATGTGAAAACGAGAGTTGACGTGAGCAAGAAGGTTCAATTAGTGACTCAAAGCCACCGGTTGTCAAAATTGGAGGTGCTGACGCTGGTTTGTGGCTGTTTTTTCGGTATTTTTCCTGATCAAGACGTCACAAAGTCTGAACTGGGTGTACAAAGCAGAAAATCGCGCCGACATGGCATTGATATCGGTAATGACCTGATCCAGTTTCCCCATTTCACTGCAGCTCGGTTATTTTCATCCCCCGGTATGGGTAAGATAATTGTGCTGAAGGCTCAAAAGATTCGTTGTCTCTTGCAGTACTTCTTGCGCGTGGTTCCGCTTGCCGTATCAAAGCGCAACGCACTGTCTGCTGAGGTAATTGATTTCACACGTGTTGGTGTGCACTTGCCGCTTGCGCAAGGGGAAATTGGTGCAGAACAATCATCTGAAGGACTTCTTAAGATACTAGGAAATCCTTCGCAAGCAAATTGTACTAGCCACGCTCAAAGTGCTGCGGGTGCACACCCTCGATTACACGCTGCAACATGTGTGTCAGATGTCCGAATTGAAGATCTGAACAAGCATTTGCAAATTGATTTTGCTAACAAATTTGCTGGTGGCGGAGTGCTTAACTCTGGGTGTGTGCAGGAAGAAATTCGCTTTTTACTGTCACCCGAATTACTCGTGTCATGCCTCTTGTTTGCCAAGCTGGAACCCCATGAAGCGTTTGTGATTCATGGAACCGAGCGCTACAGTACGTACCAAGGGTATGGTGGATCATTTGTCTATGGTGGCAACTTTGAGGACACAACATCTTTGGAATCTCTGCCGGATGGACGCTTACGCCGACAATGCGTGGTCGTGGGAATGGACGCAACCGATTATGGTAAAGAGCGGGTGCAACGACAATATACGCGTGAGCATGTATTGCGCGATCTAGTTAAGGCTTATGCTGGTTTTGTATACCTTGAAGCGCGCGATAACGAACAGTGTTGGCCTGTAGCTAGTGGAAATTGGGGCTGTGGGGTATTTCAAGGCGATCGCGAGCTCAAGTTTTTGATTCAGTGGCTCGCAGCGTCGCTATGCCATCGCGAATTGGTCTACGTTTTGTTCGAGCGCGACTTGGATCTACTAACAAAAGTCAATGCGTTGTTAACGCTAGCCATCAGCTTGAAATCACGTGAATGGGACCAGCAAAGTGGTGGGGTAATCCAATGGCTTTTGACATATCTTCTTCATGAGCTGGATTTCGATCGTGGGATGAAAGGTGGACACAGCGTGTTGAAACGTGCCTCACTTTCTCTCAAACGGACATTAACGACACTCCAAGCACCAGACAACCATCAACAGGTTACTGAACGCAAACCGAAAGAATCGCAAGCAGCAAAAGCAGCGTCATCTCAAACCGATTTGTTATCACCAGATACTAAATTGGAAGATAGGGCGACCTCGACTCGAGAAGAAGAGCAACCTGATGAGACTATGAAGAAGAAGCCCAAAGTAATGAAGACAGAATATCACCAGAGCACTATGCTGGACTTTTGTACGCCCAAGCAATAAAAAGTTGTTGAAGTCTGCTGTCTTTTCAAAACAACGAAATCTCAACCTCTTGTAAACCCGAACACTGAATATCTGAAGTCTAGTGACAATGGTTTGCATGACCTAGTAGCAATGAATGTACATGTGCATCTTATAAAGGAAGGTCGTTGACATAAAAAAACGACAGGCAAAGCCACTGTAGGGGCTGTGTTCAAGGCACAGCGTTGGCAAAGAAGCCAGTGACGGTATAGCATTTGCCCGGGTATAGCTTACAGGATCGGCAGCTCCGTCAATGTCGCACTGCGTCCCCTACAGTATCACTTGACCCGCCGGTAGTTTGCTACTAACTCTTAGCTACAAGACCGAACTTCTGCACAAAGCTGAAAAAAGACAGCAGGTCATTCATGCAACAACTTGAACTTGCATGTCGTGCTCTCATCTCGGACCAGTGTTTGTTCATCGCTGACCGTTTCTTGGGCTTTCAGCATCTCTACATTGAAAAATCAGAAAAACATACGTACGTACTAGAACAAGCATACGCTGCACTATCTCCCCTCAGACCAATCGGTCATTCCTGAACTCGCTTCGAGACTTGCAAGACCACATAAACTTCCTTCACTATGCGTGTCCGCACCTGCTTCGTCTTCATTGCGCTCGCTGCCGTAGCGGCCGCCGAAGTCGCAATTGTCGATGACCTTGCCAACAAAGCCACCGATTCGGCTACCAGCGCTGCTAACGGTGTGGTGACCGACACTACCGACGCAGCGAAAGATACGGCTGCTGGCGTTGCTAGCAATGCGGTGCACCATGCGTTCAACTCTACCGGCAATGCGTTGCAAGATGCTGCTGACGCTACCGGCAATGCGTTACATCATGCTGCTAATTCTACTGGCAATGAGGTGCAAGATACTGCTGAAGCTGCTAACAGCAAGCTTGACGACAAGGACAATAAGGCTGGCCCCACTCCCGTTTCTGGCTCTTCGACGGCTGCTTCGATGCATCAGTCTTCAATCGTTATCATGACGACTCTTGCTGTTGCTGGACTCACACTGATGAACTTCGTCTAAGCTAGCACACAGAAGTCCATGTACTCAGACACTCTAGAGGTATTAAATCAACTCATTCGAGTGTTCACTTGAAGAATTGAAGACCAGGAACTTGTTGTACTATAGCCATCACTATATCTGCAGCGAATGAGGTCGCCACGGGACGAATCACTTACAGTAACTCCTTTTACGTTGGTCGTGGTACTGAAATACTGCGTCTTGGTTTGTAATCACACTGCTGCTATTTTACAGCGTGCAAGGTCTATCAATATGCGTCTAGTAACATCCCCACTCCACTATCCACAGCATGCAAGATCATCAGTCTTATACGCTCGTCGATCCGCGACGAACGTACGCTTTCATATCAAGCCAAACTAAATGGTAGGACACCGCGTGTTCACATTGATCATGACGCTACTTAAAGAATGCCTTCTCGGTCTATTACGATACAAATAAACTTATCGTCCCACACCAACTGCTTCATCGTCCTCTCTTCTTTATACAGCGCTGGCATTCTCCCTGGTCATCAAAGAAGTATGGCAAGATGAAGGACAATCACAAAAGTGTTCCGCTTCTAACTCATTATGCATGCTTTTAATGTGATGAAGTAACATCATCCTTTCAAGAGAACACTCGCTTGAGGACGACTCGTATTTTACTCTAGGCCAAACCATATCAAGCCGTCAATCCCATTCCGTCGTGAGCTGCCTTCTGCAAATTAGACAAGGAGATTGATGATGGCGATGGCAGCTATCGAAGCCAGAGCGATGCTAGGCGTCACATGCGTCAAGGCGGACGTGGCTGACGCTGATTTAAGAGCCGAGGTCGAGTCGCCAGGTTTCGAACTGCTTGCAGGCGAGCTCGGATTCGGGGTGTTGATGGGTGTCTCAGTCGTTACTTTGCTGATGCTGTCCGAGATGGCGCCCGTATTGTGGATGACGGGAGCCTTCGCATCGGTGGTTGCTTCGTTCGTGTCAGTCGGTGGTTCATCCTTTTCGTTCGTGATCTTGGGGGAATTTTCAACAATGGCTTGGGCGGCCACATCAGCCGGGTCTGGATTAGCCGAAACCAGACACGTCAGTGCCATGAGAGCCAAAGTCAGCAAGGTGACGTACGTCATGAAGCGAACCATGGTAAGGGGGTTCGTTATCTGTTAGTTGAGAAGTTTGTAAGGTCTCGGTGCTGTAGAGCGTCGTTTTTTGAGTGAACGAGCGTCACAGACGATCAGAGCTCTATTTTAAACAGTAGTAGTCACAAGCGATCGACAGTGCAAAAGTTGATAAAGGCTGTGCAAACAACGACCAGATTCTCCATCTGCTGGCGTCAAAGATGCAAGTCGGGATGCGTAAGCCCGTTTCTGAATACCGACTCGAAACCCTGAACAGAGAGGAGCTGTTGGGTAGCCTATTTCTGCTTGAGGGAGTCTCTATCACAAGAAAGCAATAACGGATTGTAGGTATGCATCGCAGATTGTATGACAACCTTTGGAGAGAACTCGATGCCAAGTCTTTACAGTTGAGGGGAAAGACGGTAAGATTCGATCTGAAAGCAACCGCAGATACCCCAGCAGGAAAAACGCGATAATGCCGTCACACCTCGATGGCACCAGCTCATGGAAGCAATCGCTAGCGATTATTGCAGGGCGTGTAGTACATTGTCTATCTCGTCAGCCATTCCAATACCTATCATGAACGTCGATTTGACATTCGTGCGAGTGTCCATTTCCAGTCCTCGAGTTTATAAAGAGACAACATGATCTTTAGTATCAAGTAGTATAGTTGTGGCGCTCGGCGGGCATCCGCTGTTGCATCGAGTAGCGGTGCGCGGGGGGGGGGGTCTAACCTGCATATACACGAATACACATCGTATACTATTTTGTAAAGGTCGTACTTAATTTGAATAATACAATACCAAGACAGTTGATGCTCGTGTCCTTCTGCCGCGTCTCATTTCATGGCTTCGTATTATCAATCGCAGGTGTAGACAACACTTGATTTCCTCGAAAATGAGTCCCAATATTAATGGCTTGCACCTCCAAGTCCAATTGTACCATGCAAATTGCTTCATGGTCCGGAATCCATTGCTTTATCTGCAGTCTTTTACTCATCATCTACAGCTCGGACAATGGGGTTACTAGACTTTGGCACTTGTACAATTCACATGGCCAAGTCACACCGTTTTTCTCGATTCTCTGAGCGCGAACCATCACTCGATCAACAAAATGATAGCAAGGAGCAGCACTCTAAGCACGCAGTAGACGAACGTCCCACAAAACGGATACGCAGAAATGTAGACTCGAGTACTACGTGCGCTCCTGAGCAGTTGCACTGCCGTTATGCCAACAAGAAATGTCTAAATCCGCGTGCTGTTAAGCGCACGGGTGGCCTGCACACCTTTTGTGCCATGCACCGTGCCAATGCCAATCGTAATCAGCGACGGTTGGACATGCGCAAGCGCATGGCTCGACAAGCCTTGAAAACAAAAGACGTAGAAGCTCAACTGCCTTCGATCCTCGATACAAATACTTCTCGCCAACAAGCAGATTTAGTGACAGAAGTCGTAGTGTCGAACCCGTCTCCTTCAAGCCAAGACATCGATCCACGTTTGGAGCCGCTGCGCTCGCCCACACCACTTCAGGAAGAAGACATTACGACTTTGATCGCGCTTTTCCTACCCCACTCCTGTATCTTTCGATACTGAATTGGATTCCGAACCACAGAAGGTGGTACAGGTGCTAACGATCCAAACAGAGCGAGTACGTACACCGCAGCTCGACCTCATACATGCGTAGAAGACGTATATTTAAACGAAGCAATGTGCCCGACGGCTGCATTAGGCAGTAGACACGTACACAGCAAATTCCCTTTTCTCTCATTTGGAGGTATACCTGCATTGTTCAAATCGAAAAGACTAGGACCGTGGCCGTTTACATGCTTAACAACTGACATGAGGACTCTCCTTTGCTTTCATAAGATTAGATAACGATACAACCAAGCTTTAATATGAACTGGTATGGATGAATACATTCCTTTGCTGCAACGTCATGGTGCATTTGGTAATGATTCAGTAGGACTTTTCATTCATGCCACATATCGAATAGCTGAATGGCCAAGGTCGTAGTCATTAGTAGCGATTAATGTACTAGCTCGGGATCCATGTTTGGTTACAGGACTTGTAAAGACCTTGTCCGTCGAGTATACGACAAAAACAAAATGGTTCGTTCGAATGAATGCCAGAATTCATTATGCTTCGATTATCATTTCGGTGGTGTTGTCACCTCGCGGGCCTTGTCTGATGCACGATGCACATGGAGCCGGTCGGTACCTATATGTACACACACCTAAAGCTTATGCGTGCCATTCATTTTCGATACTGATATCGTTTCGTGCACTTGCAATCGGGGTATAATCGAACAAATATATCAAACTATTTTGCTCGATACACGTCCAGGTAGCAAGCGACGCCTGAAGCAATTCAATGAGGGACCAACTTTAGAACAACGACAAAGTTTTAGTACTTGCTGCCGGGCAAAAAGTCCGGTTCGCTGGGTGCCGCTGCGATGCGCGTGCACAAGAAAGGATCAAAAACGAACGCCGCCGAAGTCTCCGCCTTATCATGGAAATTGCGTGCGTTTTTGCCACGGTCTTCCGTAACAGCGCTACTGGATTTTTAGCTTGTAGAGCGAGAGCCTCATGTTTAGTCCAAGCTGAAGCTCAATGAACGCGTCGCGATAAGTCGAAGAAATCAGGTGTGGCGTGCGATTCGACTGAGCGGTACAGCGACAGAATCAACTTTAAACGCAATAGGAGACTCGCAACGGCACTGTTCGTTGTATTGAAGACGAACATAACGATAAAAATTCCGTGAGACTCGTTTTGATGGGATGCCAAGGTGGCAATGACGTCAGTGTTGTTGTTCGCGATCATGTGTACATTCGAAACCATATATTAACAAGGCACATGGGATATCAGTACGATCACGACGCCGAGTCCATCTCACTTGTGGCCTGACCCTGAACAACTGAGCTTCTATAGTATAGCATATCAAAACTAACAGGTAGATTAGAAAATGTAGGTCCTGAAACAATTCTGTATCTAGTAAAACAACCATCCATTTTGTATGAATTGTTCCAAGAATATATAGTATACAAGAGAATCCATTTGACAGTACGGTAGATCCAAGCAAGCGGAGATAAACGTGGCTGTGCAGTACACGAAAGTCTCTGCTGGCTTCTCGAAGTCAATCATCAAGTTTTCTCAAGCCAGTCAGTACCCCCTCCCTCGAACGATGGACCACCTGCTGAATGACGTGTCCCCAGACGATGCCACCGATGAAGTTGTTACCAAAAACGAGACCGTCAACGTTAATGGGTCGCTTGTGGTTGCATCGCAGACACTACCCTATTTGGTCACCCAGCTTGCCAACTCTGTCGTTTGTCCCGATAGTTCTGCTGCTAGTTTGGGGCTACAAATGCTCTCGGCTGCCGCACCGTCCGTGTTGATGTCGTTTCCGAAATCACCTCCACGTCTACCACCTATTAGTCTCTTAACAGCTGCTGCTGCTGCATTGCAGCCGATGCAATGTCTGACGCCAGCTCCGTCCCAGCCACACCGGTTATGTCCTATGAAGACCCCGTTGCAAGCTACGGTGGACTCGTTCTCCGCCCACTCTTCGTTCATCAACTGCCCCCAAGCCGAGGACATGCTGTGTCGCTACCGCAATAAGAAATGTGGCTATCCTCGCGCCATTAAGCGCAATGGGGAGCGTCATAACCTGTGCGAACATCACCGTTCTAAAGCTAATCAGAATCAACGTAAACTCGAGGGCAAACGACGTGTCAAGAAGCGGTTGATGCAACGTGTGGCGATCCAAGTTGTGAATGCAAAGAAGGTGGTCGTATCGCCGGAGAACGAGATCAATTTTGCTTTGTATGGTGATGCACTTGTATGAGAGACGAGAGGCAGAGATGAAAAGAGAGGGAACACGTCTTGATAACACTTGGAGGTTCGGAGTTTACACTAGGTTAGGTTCCTATCTGAGCTCTTGCATCATTAGTATTGAAATGCAAATTTGGCCTTAATTTATGCAAGTGGTGGATAAGAGATGAATACGTGCTAGCATGTTATAGTTTCAAATCAGGAAAATGTTCTACTGGCAATTGTACAGTATCCGCTCAGTTGGTACGAGGTCGTATAATGTGTTACACACTCTAACATTTTAGGGATGCAGTTATTGCAGGAAATAAGTGCGTAGTCTGGACGTTCTAAATAGCTCACTAAGACCAAGGACTTGTGGACTGCTGTTCACTACAGCTCCGAAAGCACCCATTGTTTTTTTTTGTAAGATGCTGTATAGTTAGTTACAGCCGTGATTGAAAAATACATTGCGATGTTTTTACTACGGTGAAAAGTAAAGATTTGAGTTGCTCAGCATGACCAAAGTTTATTTTGGCATTCATTGAACCTCAACAGCGCAGCTCCTCGGTCTAAGCTTCGATCTTAGAGTAAGTTTCGCATAAGAAGCTTTTTTGTGGTGCTTGAGGGCCTGCCAAGTCAAAGGCTGTGAGCTAAGTTTTGGCCAACTCAAAGAAGAAAATTCCACTCATTTTGGAGGTGATCGGGTCGCGGGAGATGCTACTACCACTAAGGACGCAATCCGCCCACGCCATCTTGTTAGCTGATCCACTTTCCGACGATCGGTCGAATCATCGATACGCTTAGAGGGACTAAAACTTCAATCACGTCTGCTACCGTCAACTTTGTCGGATTATAAACTAAAATAGATGATAGTGAAGCATCGATACTATGATCATTGTGTTCCGTGGTCCAGTCAACGTTCATGGCAGCATATTCTTGTTATCTGAACAGTTTTTTGACATCTCTGAACACAATCGTGCTCCCAATGTATTGGACCTCGTCGCGCGAAACGAGGCTGCTTCTGTGGGATTTGCTGATCAAGCATCCGTTCATATTGAAAGGGGCGAGATAGACCTCGTCATCTTCAATGTACATAACGGACTCGAGTATAATCAAATTGCTGCACCGAGGACTCGCCACTCCCATGTTCAACAATGCGGTGTTGCTGTGTGAGACGGCTTCAAACGGGTATTGCCGCTTGAGGTTAAAGTCGTATCGGATTCCTATGTTCCGATCTCACATCTCATCCGACGCAACACGATCCACATCTGCTTATGACCCTTAAACACGTTTCGAGACCAAGCAATGCATTGACGATATTAGATACCGTCTTGTGCTTCATCCTTTGATGGGCAAACTTCTTAAGTCCCAATCGACTGCCTCACTGAAGCAGCCAGCAATCATAGTATTCACAGGATGAACTTATGTACAAGAGCTTCCACTGCATGCATCTCCAATCCTTAACATGTACTTCTGCGAACGTGTCAGATTCTGAAATGAATGCAAAGCTGCACAATCTGTGCAAAACCCACCGCGAAAGGGCAATTATCAGCTAAGTCGCTTCGACGTCAGGTTCCGACAATGCCACCAGCTCGCTAAAGACGACCCACCCTCTTTGAAGCGTTAGATCTCCCCACCCGATCCTCGAACCGGATTTGGACAGCTCTTCGACCACGAGCGAAAGCCAGTATTGTTGTTTCTGAAGAGCTGTTGATGAAACAGCGACGCTGTCAAATTATTAAGTCGTTCAATGTAGACTTCACTTCGTTTGCTCTGGTGCATTCCCTGGCAGCCACATCCATGAGTCAACACTTTTGCATAAAGCGTGAAAAACTCTGCGCGCGCGGCTATAGTGTGCCAACTCAAGTACGGATCGCGATGCTACTGCATCGCGATTTGTATATTTCGTCGGCAAAAAGACATACGCCTCAATGCTACCGACGACATTCTTTGGGACCTCTTGGCCTCGTGCGCGAGAGGTGGTACTGCTGGTTTTTACCGTGCAAAGCTTGTGATACATGGATCAACTTTCCCACCAAGTCCAGCGTGAAGATTAAGTGGCCGCTGGACGAGGTGCGTGGCATAGGTACAGCTTCTTGTTGTCTATCATGAAGTGGCTGCTTCTTTGACTTGCAAAGTGTGCATCCATCCATTGCCGTGGTCTGGTTGACACTTCTAGTGCTGTCAGCCACTGTATACCTACATCGTAGCGGTCTCAGTTCCCGGCTTCTCTCTTTCGCCCGTCTCCCGTCTACGTCAGGTCCCACCAGGGCCTGTTACCACTCGCAATGAGGGAGATCAGCACTCGCGCTTTTCCACTACAGACCACATCACAATGGACACGAACCAACTACGAGTGTTGCTTGACGAGGACGGACACAAACTCGTCCAGTTACCTACAGGTGGTCGAGTCGCGGTACCGTACGACCCGCTCTACGCAGCGGAGCAAGCTGCCGCTGAAGCTGCTCGAGCCATTGATCCACCCGATGAACTACGGTGCAAATACAAAAGCACGCGTTGCTTGAGCTCACGCGCCAAGAAGCGAAATGGCGAGCTGCATAGTTTTTGTCAAATGCACCGTGAACGTGCCAACCAGAATCAGCGCAACTCGGAGCAGCGCAAACGGAGCACCAAGACACGAACTCGACGGACCTCACAGCAGCACAAGCTTACGAGGAATCAATGGGATCCAGATTTGACTGACCAAGATGAGGAAAAACACTTTGGCCATTTGAGTCTAGGACCACCTCCTTTTCACCTCCCCGAACCGCTTCAAGGTGACGATAGTCCTCATCCAGAACCAACTTATGACGAATTAAAAGAGACTGCGATGCTATTGAGCTTCTCCGACCATGACCGCGAGTAAATAGAGTCAATCAGTTTATAGCTTCATGTCGTACCGTGTTCAACATGATCATTATTTGTTCACTTTATCTGAGCTCGTGTGTTTTTATCCGGATATACACATTCACTAAAGTCTCCGTTATACAAATAAGGTACCCAAATAGTCAAAACCTATTCCCTTCAGTACCGCAAGGATTTGTAAAAACCCTTATCTTAAGATCGAAACGAGTAAATGATGGACCCTTTATACCGAATAGACTGAAATTTAGACGAGAGGACTCTAATTTATAGTCATAAAAATAGGATAAAGAACTTTATTGCTTACACAGGAGCTGTAAACGAGACTAAGGCAGAAGAAGCAGAGCAGATGATGTCGGGTTCAAGTTTACGACCTGGAAGAAAAAAGGCTCAGATGGAAGCATTGGACAGGACATTAAGAGCCTCGTATGGTCATGAAGTCTTGGATGAAAAACGACGAGTACTGAAATAGTTGGCTGCATACGAAAGATGGACTTGCAACCAAAGGATTTCGATATCATGAGATATAGGACCATCTTGTGGTTGACGGAGATGTACAATGAAAATTGTGGTCGGTTGTGCTGACGGAGTACAATACCAAGTGTGAGGAAGAAAAACAAATGCGCTGGAAGATCAAACTTGAGTTCATGGTTAGAGTTGATCAGTTCTTTGGTGATGGTAAACAGATAGAGCAGTAGTAAGTGATCAAGAAAGAAGGCTGAGTCGTAGAGTCACAGGTTGACGCATGTGTCTTTTGAAGGCTTTGGGCACCACTCCTAACGATACTATCTGCCTTTGTTCAACCGACTCTTGCAGTTGTGATAACTGCAGCATCTATTGCATTGTCGACAGTGCGTCTATTGAAGCGCGGAGAAGCAACATTCACCATTTGTTGACGGTGAGCTAGAACGGGTGTAAGCATCACATGTACCGCAACCATTGTAGATCGAGTGGATGCGTTGCTTACGCTTGTTTTATGGACTGATGTGGTGGTCTCTTGGGTGGCGGCTTGGGCTTGATCTGGGTTAAGCGCTGCAATTATCTTGTTGCGCAAAATGGATCTACTAGCTCGAGCAGTGCATGTCCTGGTGAAGTGCTCTCATGATGCAGAGCGCCTGATCGGAAAGACCTTGCTTAGTGCAAACGACCGAGATTGAAGGTGTAGCCCAAGGTTAGAACATAGCGAGATGACGCTTTCATTTCCCTACCATTTGGACGGCATTGTCCGAGTAAGTATGCAGAAGTGGCAAAAAGACAAGTTGTGCCAATACGGTGATGTTTTAACGAGTTGGGTGACTTGTTCCTACGAACTCATCGTTGACGTGCTGGCTTCCGAGAGCCAGTACTCAGTGGGTGAACAATACGTGTTTCATTTTGTTCTGGAGCTCGAATGAAGGGCTAGTATCCAATCTGTCACGGGGATAACCTTTCTTTTGCATCGTTCAGTCGGGGGGAGGGACATATCACGTGGTTCTCAATGAATATGGTGAGCAGTGCAAACTATGATGCCTTTTTTTCTACGTCTGACGCGTCATTAAGATGCATTCCATAGCTCCTTCATGTCGGGTGGTTCCCATATTACTTCATCACCAACGTCCTTGATGTTGTGAATGACCTTGTGACCATTGGTCAGCTGCGCTTTGTATATATACAATCGTTCACCTCACGCTCATACAACGGAGATAACACCTTGACCTTGGAGGCTTTCATTAAGAATAAGCGATACATCTTGATATGCTCAGCGTATCCCATGGAGCTTTTGGCCTCAGCGATCGCTTTCAACTTTCGTTCGAGCTTTCTATGACATCTTTGCTCACAAATTCCATTTCGATGTCCGACCGCAGGTACATGATCTGCTTTCCTCCACTGCATTTTGTACACGTCACGAAAACTTTCTTCTTGGCAGCTTTCTTCTTTAAGAAGTAGGCACTCTCATATCGCGAGTGATCGTCGACGAACGTCAAATATGCTTGGCTTCGTCTTATGAAGGCGCCTTCATTGTCCCTGTAACGAGGTTCAAAATACTTGGGATGTATATGATCCCGAACTTACCGGAAACGCTGCTCCCCTTTCATGCATCCACCGTAGAAACTTTGAAGCGTTAGGCACATTCGGGATGTTGATCATGGCATGCTGTGTTTTCGTGAGAGCGTATGTCCCAGCAAGCGTCTCAAGCTCCCACTTACTGTCAGCTCTGACGTACTGGACGAAGAGGCTCCTCCCTGGTCACAGCCCAACATGTACGCCATACCGATCTCGTTCTGCGCGATGGCATCAGAACCGCTACATTCAGGCCTCTTTCCACCAGCGTCCTTATAATCGACACACCTATTTTTCAAACCGGGATGCAGGACGTCTACCATCTTGTTTCGTTTCTTGGTCAGACCAGACAACCGCCCGTTCCGTGACCTGCCACTTCCAGCGTCTTTCTTTCTGCAAGCGTCACTTTGATCTTAGCACTCACACCCTCATGTTGAGAAGAAAACCACGGGATGGTTTCATGGGGGTGGTTACATGGGGGCAGTTACACCACGGGTCGACCTTGCACCAGCGAGACGCGATGAACTTCGTTCGCCGTACCCAAGCCGAGCATGTCCGCTCCAAAACGTCCGAGTTTGTTGTACTTGTCTCTGAAGCCACTTGCTTCTGACGATCGTTTAACTTGCGGCCATTATCCTTGTCGTCCTTACTAAGGAGGATACCTACTTATCACTATCCTTGTTGACCTTAAACCGTCCAGTCTTCGCCTCCAACGCGCAATCAGTAGTCTCTTCTTCTTCTTCTTTTCCAGTCGTTCAAACGCTTTCAAGCTCTCCTTTGCGATCAACGTGATGTCTGAAATTCATGTTATCAGTCTTCGACGAGACTAACTCGATATTCGACCGGGTAGACGTTGTTAGCAGTACCGCTTGCTGTCGCTTTTCATCGACCGAATCGCCCAATGTCTGCACAGCCGATGACAAGTTCGACAAGAGCATCTAAATGTTGGACATAGTGGTACCATTTGCCTGGAGATGGCGGTTGCATAGAGTAAGAAGGTGGCAAAAGCGTTATCCTTGTTTGCATTCCGCACATTGCAGAGTGAATCACTCTAGAGCTTTGACGTCATTTACAAGTCATGCTTTTATAATTTCGATCTCCAGTTTCACGCCCTCACATGCGCGAGCATCTCTTTGTTGGGCTAGCATGATGCGTATATTGTACACCCAGTAAAAATGTTGTTACTTCTAAGGACGCTTCGTGAGGTGAGCCTGGTTGCAACTGAAGCTTTTGTTGTTGGCTGAGAGTCAACGCTGATTAGACTAGTTCCTTTGCCCTACATCGAACTACTTATACGTCCTTCACTAATGATACCAAACAGCTCAACACCTTCTCTTGTCCGTGAGAACTGGCGGTGTACAAGATAAACGCTACGACAAAGCTATCTATCTAGCTATTGAACATCTCAGAATGCCATCGATACCAATGGTAGCCTGTCCCAAGCACAGCTATTCGTTCTAGTTGTGTTTGGCTACAACAGCGCGAACAGAATGAATTTACAGTTTCTGCAACATCGTTTCAAGTTGATTATCGCTTACGCTGTGCTTTAGATCTATCTAACCAGCAACGACTCAATAGGATACGCTCATTTCAGTATCATTCATACGTATGACACTTGTCTGATTGTTTTTTAACGTTCAGTTAATCTTAAGGTTGCGATGGCATCACGTCGTCACTTTCGTCTCGTGATGCGAATAAATATACTACGAAGTAGATGGCAGATGAGATCGTAATGATCTCGATCGTAGAGAGGTACAGCTCCAGATAGGTATTCTAGGTGGTATCCAGTTCGATCAGATGTGCGCCGTGTAGACGAACTGTTTCGTGACGGACAAGGGCTGTTCTGCCAGTTGGTTCGGTGAGACCACAACTTCGTGCAGCTCGAGGTCCTTCAGTCTGATAACGCTCCGCACTTTGATGGCAGCCGAGACCATTACTGCAACTGCCGCTGCAGCTGCAATGCCCACAACTGCTGCAATGGGGAGCCTTCCATTGGCAACAGATGATGAGTCCGAGAGATTTCTGACGTCGATAGCAGTGACAATTGAGAGCAGCGCCATGACAGCAATGACGAAGGCAATCGAGAGCTTAGACACTTGCATACTCGAGTGAAGAACGGGAGCTTGTTATCGATGCGAAAAAGTACAAAATGACAGCTCCTCTTCTGCACTTTGATCGGGCCACTGCGTCCTGGAATGTTCTTGGGAGTGTCAAACTTGACGTTTGTATGCGTTCAGAGTTTGTGAGCTATAAATGATCGCATGTCGTGCGTGTTTCCAAGGCAGATAGATCTACAGGCTTGGCGATCACGACAGCGACTTTCTTCCATTCAGATATGTTTCAGGTGGGCAAGAGAGCTTCTTAGAGTAGCTGAAAGCCTTTGTCTAAACCATAAAGTACTTACCGAAATGCAACTGGTCTTCTTAAACGTCGGACTGCAGGGACATGCATGGTATGTAAAGCCAAATTGTCGGGCAGGAAAGTACCGGTAATCCAGCACGTGCTCAATATCTGGATCGATCTGATGCCCGATTGCCTAGGCAGGGGCGTAGTTCGTAGCTGCCTGCAGTTTTTCTTCGGTCGAATACCAATCAAGGCACTTTTTGTAAAAAGTTTGTGCCCGTCAAGAACCTTTAACCCTGGAAAATGCAGGTCCGATCAGGTGCATGGAAATTAAGATGGTGAGTTAGAAAGTCGAGAATGGCTACGATCATGCGGGCTACATTGCGATTTGGAGAAGCCTTTCGACATGAAGCGTGCATGACAGACCAAATTACGCATCTTCGGCACCGTCATATCAGAGGGCATCGTAGTTTCTGATATTACAGTGCCAACGATGCCATGACTAGCACTAGAGTTGGTTCATATGAGGAGTTTAACTAGGTCAGACGGCGCTGTGACTGTTCGAATCAAGTCTCGAATGGGACATGATATAGTCTACATACGATGCTATAGGGTCATCAGTCTATTGTCCGGACAGTCAAACAATTTCTATTGATCATGCAGGTAATTGCGGTAATTACAATAAGTCGGTGGACTGGTTATTTGTTTTGGAAATCTGCTTTCCCTCGTCTATTGTATTTAGTTTGAAAGGATTTGTCCGACGGCGGTCAAGCTCTTCTCTTGACCGTACCAGCCAACGGGTCTTCTTGAGACACCCATTTGGCAATTGTTGCATGAAATAGAGAAACGTCATTGGAGACACCAATTCACTATCAATGGATATGATTTCACTACATGTTAAAGGGGACACGTCATTGCTAACAAATGTCGAACGTCTTTTGTCTCAGGAGGTCTTGATAGCCGAAGAATTCACTGGAATTCAAAATGACAAGAAGGAAAAAATCTTTCGATGCACCTTTCCAGGCTGCGGCCGGGAGTTTCAGCTCAAGGGAAATCTAAAGAGACATGTTAATATCCATAAGGGTGATAAGAAATTCGTCTGCAAGTTTTGTAAGAAGCGCTTCTTGCGCAAAGCAGACATGGAAGTGCACTATCGAGTGCACACGGGTGAAAAACCCTATCGTTGCAAATACAACGAATGTGGCAAACGCTTTGCCCGTTGCTCAGATTTACTGAGTCACGAACGCACGCACACGTACGTCATCGTCCTTGTACTCATCTCACGGATTGTACTAGTAGCTGACGATGGCTTCATGTTTTCTTCTTCTTCTGTAGAGGCAAGAAGCCCTACGCATGCGCGTTCCCTGGTTGCGACCGGAACTTCGCACGCAAATTTGATCTCCACAAGCATCAGCGTCTGCATGAGGACCACGATGACGCTCTTGGAACAATCAAGACCAAGAAACGAAAGTTGTCGCCGTGTCAAACTGACGCTTTAACACGCAATGAAAGCTGCGACTGTCCGAGCGATGTCGCTACGCCTTTTGTTGGTGGAGCAACGTCCTCCGATGCAGCTCTGACTGCTGATGTCTTTCTTCCTGGACCACCAGCTACGCAAACCACAGTGCCGATTACCGGCACATTTGCAGCTGGTCGCCGCAAGATGTCAGCTATTGCTGCGTGCTTAGACACTCCGACAAGAGCGTCGCGATACGAACTCAAGTGTCCGGAGAACAACGTCTCGCCACCGACGTGTTTTGCTGCGCTATCCTCGTTGGACGCCTTCGTGTTGTCGCAGGAAACCTTGGATTTTTCTCGTCCCTTTTCACTTGATGCGTTTCCGCCGTGTCCTTCGACAACGATTGGAACAAGTTGCTGTCCAGCGCATCTTGAGCTGAGGCCTCCCCCGCCTGAAGACAACATAGTCTCTACTGAAACGAAGATGCCGAACGCCCCCGATATCCTGGACCATCTCTTTACGACGTTCCCGTCATCACCGAATAAAACTGCGCTCGCACCTACGGACTCTCACGACTTGCATTCCAACATGGCACATGAAATGACGCTCATCAACGGTTCTTTTACGAACTCAGCTCAGCCTGGGTCAGTTGACAACTCGACGGTGGGTCAGACATTTTCTGAGTCTAGCGTGCCTCTCAATGTGCCGGACGTGAACGGATCAACTTTCAGTCCTGAGAGAGTGCTATCAAGCTCGACTCCCAGTGCAGCTTCAGTTGGTAAATCGTCGGTGCCCAGTTCTCAAGCGCATCCGGCAGCCTCATCGGGCAGTCCTGTTAACTTTGGCGATGTCAGTCCGACTGACTGGGTCACAAGTTCCACAAGTGATGGTAGTGGCGCTGCACCAGTTACCGCTGCTGCTTCAGTCAAATTTGCCGTTGAGAAAGCATGCCTGTCAACGCCGACGTCATCGTTGCTGGACTACTCGCGGCATAATCGTTCGTGTGGCCACTTGTCCATTCAGCACGGAAATCATCGCGACTATGTGGTGCAAAATCACCTCGTTTGTCAAGACAGCGTGACGAGACTTGGTGTGAAGCAGCGTGCCGTCTCTACCGAGAAAGCAGAATTTAATGCGGCAGCTGCAAGGCCTGTTCAGTGCACCTCGCCCAAGGATACGCATCGACCGGGCTGCGGCCACCTTCCCGTGCGCCACAACGATCACATTGACTACGTCGTGGAGGACAACTTGATTTGCCAGCAGGCTAGCTGGCTTGAGGACGATAATCTTGAACTACTCGGTGACGATTTCTGGGACTTTTACGATGCTATTGACGCGTTCCCGACCAACTAAGTAAGATCATGGCTGCACACCAAAGTGCAAAGTATTGGCTATATTCGCTTAAACCCAACAAGTTGTTTTGTGTTCTGATCAACCACTCACAGCCGCAGTTTGCTACTTCCGAGATAGTCAATTAATTTGGCGCCATGAGACGCACACCCTCGTCTCCAGTGGTGTTGTTGCCGCGGTATCGTGCGACACGATACGACGGGTTGAACGCCCAAGCAAGCGCGTTTAATAGACCTTGCGAGTAAAAGCATAGCTCTGAAAGATACAGAAAAAAGCTCGACCTGACCCAGTCTACACCGAACGCTTGCAGCCAGCCAAATAGAGTCGGAAGAAAGAGTGCAGCAATGGTAGCGACGCAGCTGGATAGCAATTGCCCGCTACTACGACGTGCACGTTCTGCTTGGTGAGGGAGTGATTGCCCAGTAGATCTGGTGGTCGAAAGATACACTGCCAGTCCAGCAAGCGTAATTGTAAGTGCCGCTGGCAAGTAAAACAGGAAGGCGCGAGCCCAGCCGGGGCTATGGCCCACGAAGCATGCTCGGCATGGGCCAGCTCCATCCGGCAGAAAACCAATTAGTCCCGTGAACAATGAGAATGCTCCCGTGAACGCAGCAGAGCACCAGATGACAACATGGTACACCAGTTTGTACTCCACGGTACTGGAGTGAGTCCAGCGTATTGCTCGAATCAGCTCCAAACCAACTGCAGCGCTGAACAACAAAATAGCGGTACCAAAAAACTGCTGCATGCTTTTGAGCAAAGCACAGAATAATACATGCATCTGGTGGGCCCGCCACACTCCTGCAATCCACAAAGTCAAGTTGTAGCCCAACGTGCACACCGAAAGCCAGAAGAATAGCGAGAACGAGCGGAAGCTGCTCAAAATCGGGTACTGCACAAAAGAGGACACAATGAAGACCGAGCCAACAAGTGACAGACCCGACAAGAACAGCACCAATACGGCGTGAGTGTCCATGTCGTACATGTTGAAGCTGTTTTCGAAGAACGGTGATGACGGCTGCGATAGCGGCAGATCGTTGCCATTGTTGCTCACAGTACCATCTTGAGTGTCCACACCGCACAATATCGAGTCGGCCGGACACGCAAAGCCCATTCTTTTCTTCTCGACGTCATAAAGTGAGTAGAATTTCTTCATAAACACGTCACCTAGCACCCACATTTCCTGTCCACTCGGCTGTACCAGCACAATGCACGTCAATCCAACGCAAAGTGTGTAATCAGGCCCTTCCAGTACGTAATAATGCTGTCCTCCTACGCCAAACCGCAACGGCGGGAAGTCCTCCGGTGCACACAGAAAGCACTGAAAGCCGTACTGCACAAATCCACAGTAACATCCCTGATTCTGTGCGAACGTCGCTACTTCATACAAAAAATTCAAGTACAGTGTTCCTGGGATACCAATGAGTGACGTGCCAGAGTCCACAAAAGCCACACATCCCTCTGTACATGCATTCCTATGCTTTCCTACATTGACACTATGAAGATGGATCCTCCAGAACGTCCATTGTCCAAACTGAGGTAGCACATCTGTCATTTGCCATGAGGCTTGCAGTGACGTCATAAATTCTTTGTCGTGTCCTCCCAAATGTAATTCCGACCCGTTCGTATTTGGGTCTGGACTCAAATAGAAAGCAAAGACTGCATCCATCTCTGGATATTGTTCCAATAGAGCAAAAAAGAGCGGTGGATGGGAGAATGTCGATAGACCATCAAAACCCAGACCCAATAGTCCATCTGCTTTCATTCTAGCCATGGACTCTTCCTCGATCCGGACAATCCCAACATTTGCGTCTTGTACATCAAATTGGGCAATGTGGACCACATCATTCCCAAAATGCCCGCTTACTTTGCCACTACCATATTGGACAGCAAAGGCAGAATGTGTCTTGGATTCATAAAAAGTGCTGGATTCCGAGTGATTGAACCTGTCTTGACCTGCACAATCTTTGCATTTATTCCCAGGGACCCACAAGTCACTAGATCCAGTGTCAAAACACACGAGAACTTCCTGTGGAGGTGTTCCAATGGCAATAGGACCATAAAATTGAAACTCCATGAAATTTTCCAATGGTACATGCCCCTGAGACTGTAGATCCTGCACATTATGTAGGACGTCCTGCACACGCAGGTTCTTACTGTCGTTTTTATAGTCTTGGAAAGTGCTAAGGCTGCTTAGAACGCTTTTTACTTCCACTGCAATGGTATTGTCATCGCTTGATTGCGTGTGATACTGTAGCAGGTTCTGAGTACTGCGTTGCTTCTTCTTGGCAACTAGAGGGATGCGTAAAAGGGAGTGAACATCTGCAATAGACAGCGCAGCCAACGTCGCGACGAGAAAGACGGAAATTTGTTTTAAGATCATTATGATCCGAGCGCTTGCGTAGTAGAGAGCAAATTGCGGAATGAGGCGACTGTTTTTTCTGATTCGTGTTTTTATCAGCCAATTAGAACGCGTCTATGACTGTTTCAAAGATCGGTATGAATACTCAGACTGTGCGTTGTACGGCATAAATTCAGTAGAAGGCTTCGGTTTTAAACAATTTCACGGGAAGGAGTATCAAAACGTGCCCATTTTGCATTTGTACCGGTATTATCGGATCCGTCACTCAAGTGAACTAGTGTCACTATTTACATTGCAAGCTTGCACCGACAATCACTCTGTTCCGCATTTCAGTATGCGCGCCAAGGTCAACGAGGAGCGCACTGACGCTGCGCCGCAAATCAACCTGAAGGAGCAACTTGCTTGGGCAGAAAATGTAATGGCCATGTAGCCAAGACGTCGTTCATCTTAATCATCTGTGTTTGACTCTCTAACTGTCTTTGTATCCTCTATCAATCGCCATCATTAGGCGCCCAAGAATGCGTTGCAGCAATGCCTCAATTCCCACATCATTGAAGCATATCTTGACAATCGGACGACTCGAAAACAAAGGTAAGGCTACCATTTTTATCCATTTATGATCTCTGTAATGTTACCTGACGACGTCACGAGAACTAACATGAGTCCTTTTGTACCATTTTGTGTATTTTTATGCAGTCCCATCGATGAAGTAACAGAGAAAGAAAATTGTCTGGCAACAATTCAACGAGGAAGAGATGCACTTCAGAAGTTTCAGGCTCTACGGGCGAGATCAAAGGCTTCGACGAAGCTGAAGGTGATTCCGACACCACGAATTGCCCTTGGGACAATTCCAGTGATCAATACTGGCCCAGCATTCGTGTCTATCGAGCCTTCGGAGCACTTTGCTGATTCCTGTAGAGGTCAAGGAAGAAATGGAGCGGGTTTTGTTTTACCACGGGCGGGAATACCGGCTCCTGCTGCAGCAAATGATGTAGTGGATTTCACGCGGACGACGACATCTTTGCCTTTGGCACCGATGACTAACCGCTCTTCTACAGTGCAGCAGACATTATATACAGGGTTGGATGATGATGCTGATAGCTTGTTTGATCACCTGGACGTGGACGCTCTCGTTGCTGATCACCAACGTACACAGCAACGAAATCATCGAGTTGCTCGGCAGAAGGTGTCAGTGTCAGATAAGAGCTTATCGTCTGATCGGTCGACACACAGTAGTGCGTCCCAAGAGGCAGAAGGTGCTGTGATAATAGAAGAACTGCGTCAATTAATCAAACAGACGCGGGAGAATCTTCGCAAAGTCCGTGAGGAATGCGACGACGCGTCTCTCGAGGGAGACGTGCCAGATGTCATGCAAAAACGCCGCTCAGAGCTGGAACAAGAGCTGGAGCAATTATGTAAGCGGTACAGGGAGTGCAAAGGCACAGCAAAAGCATCTTCGCTCAGTCGGAATGTGTCTCCCGTGCAAGCCTCGCCTCTGCATACAGAGATGCCACAAACGCATAACAGTAGACTTGACGCACCAAATAACAATCCAACTTGCTCTTGTGGAATGACAACTGTGGAAGCTCGAGTGCAGCACGGATCAAACGCTAATCGACTTTATTATCGCTGTAGCACGTGTGGATTTAATTCTTGGGTGGACGGTGAGGTTGGAAGCCGTGAAGCCTATTCTAATGGAGGAAATCAGACTCGTCAGATTGTAGTAGAACAGCCCTGCGTTTCCAGTGATCCAGGTGTGACGTCCAAGATGCTGCGTGCTAAGCGAGTGCTCCGCGATGTTTTTGGCCACAACGCGTTTCGACCTAGTCAGGAACGGACAGTCATGGAGGCGTTCAGTGGTCGTGATGTATTCGTACTAATGCCTACGGGAGGCGGTAAAAGTCTTTGCTTCCAGCTACCTGCTTGTATTGACGATGGCGTCACAATCGTGATTTCTCCGCTAGTATCGCTAATTCACGATCAAGTGCAACAGCTGGAGGCTCTTGATGTGGGTGTTGCGAATCTGAAGAGTGACCAAGACTACGATAGTGTACAACGACCAATTATCTCGGAGCTCTTTTCGAATCGCATCACGATTAAAATGCTATACGTGACCCCTGAAAAAATCGCTTCAAGCAACCTCCTTAACAACTTGTTTGAATCGCTTGAGAAACGCGGCCTCTTGGCTCGGTTTGTGATTGATGAGGCACATTGCATTAGTCAGTGGGGTCACGACTTCAGGAAAGACTACATGAATTTGGGGATGCTACGAACGAAATTCCCGTCGGTGAGTGTTTATGTTGCTGGATCTTGTTGGTGTAAAAAAACAGGCAGACATAGCTCATTCATGTGTATTGCCAGGTACCGATTATGGCTTTGACGGCTACAGCAAACACGCAAACTGAGGCAGATATCGCTAAGAATTTGAAGCTGAAAAACCCGTTTGTCACTCGTTCGAGTTTTAATCGGTACGCTCGTATGGTTAGCGGATGTTGCACTTACCTTTCTAATCGTAGTATATAATTGCCAGACCAAACTTGACATACGATGTACGAAAGAAGACCCCCAAGTTTATGACTGAGATAGCAGATTACGTCCGAAAGCACATCGATGACTCTGGAATTATTTATTGGTACGCCAGTGGACAGATTCTAGGATGCGTGAAGTTGTATTGTGGACTTACTTGCTTGTATCATATGCTGAAACAGTCTGTCAAAAAAGGATTGCGAACAAACAGCCGAGAAGCTGATCAAGGCGTTAGGATTTGAAAACACACGAAAAGCAAGTCAGATCTCATTTTACCATGCAGGCTTAGAACCGTTTGACCGTTCCTCTCGCCACCACGAGTGGAGTAAAGGCAAGATCAAACTTATTTGCGCTACAGTAGCCTTTGGAATGGGGATTAATAAACCCGACGTGCGTTACGTTATTCATCACACGATTCCCCAGTCTGTGACGCACTACTACCAGGTACGAGTTTCGCTAACGAGTTTTCGTGTCCACGGTCTAAGTTTTCTTCTTTCCTTATCGCTTTTGCAGGAGGCTGGACGAGCAGGGAGAGATGGCGAAAAGGCAAACTGTATTCTGTACTATTCTTTCTTAGATTTGGTATGATATCTGTTTCTCATGAGCAGCTTCAGTGTTTTCACTAAATCCTCCCAAATGTGCAAACTAGACTCGACGACGCAAGCTAATCACGAAAGACCGTGAAAACATGCAACACCGCAATGTGCATCTTCAGAACCTTCGACGTATGACAGAGTTTTGCGAGAACCAAGTTGAATGCCGACGAACATCTTTACTGGAGTATTTTGGTGAACACTTTTCAAGCGAGCAGTGCCATGCAACTTGCGATAACTGCAAAAATAAGGCTTTGGGAATTACGTTTGAGAAATCGGACGTAACCGAGGACTGCGTTCTACTGGCAGAGATGAGTACGATTGCACTAATTGAGGTGAAAGGGGATTTGTTCTAATGAGTGTCGTCCACCACTTGACAGTCAAAACCCTTCAACAAAGTGGAGATCCCACGACGCTCGTACAAATTGCTCAAATATTCCTTGGCTTGGTGGTTAAGGGAAGAGAGTGGAAGCAAGATCAGTTTTCACAGCTCAAAGGGTTCGGTAAAGGCAAGGGACGCTACTCTCGCAGTGAAGTGGAGCGCATTCTATATCACATGATACTTCGGCAATACCTACGCGAAGTGGTAAGCTGTGTTTGTTGTAGCTCCGGGATAGCCTTGCAGTCAGCTAACGTGTACAATGCTCTATTATCTACTACAGGATCAAACCAACGCGAAAGGTTTCACGACAACATTTGTATCGCTTGGAATGAACGCCAACCGCCTCGATCGTGGTGAACGAGTTCGTATCGTATGCAAGACAAAGTACCAGTCGCGTGCTTCTGCCAGCGACGGTGCTTTACAAGAGAGTACCAAGGTCTCTAAGAAAAAGAAGCCTACGAACGCTGCCTCCAAAAAGGCAAAGGCGACCGGTAAAACACGGAAAACAACTAATAAGAAGACAAAGACGAGCGCAAAGGACGCTGTTGAAGAACTTAGCGATAACTCCGCTGATGATGTCGTGACGGTAGTCGCGCCCACGTCGACTACGACAGGGTATTCTCTCATTCCAGAGAGCACGTCTTCAAGGAGGTGTGTCACTTTTCCGTTTTTTTCACATTCTACATGTAATGTTTGAGCTAACCATCTTACTTCATAGAATCCCCGAAACCCACGTCGAAACGCTCGCCCAGATGCTCAAAGACTGGCGTGCAAGTGTGTGTGATAGCGAGAATGTCATGCCATACCACATCCTTACGACTGCGGGTATTGCTGCAATTGCCAATTCGGTTCCCGTTTCAAACGCAGAGCTTTTGAAAATCGACGGTGTCGGCCGTATTCGCGTGAAGAAGTATGGTGAAGCAATCATCGGTATTGTCAAGAATCATCTCAAAAAGGTTTGTGAATGCCGACATCTTGATGCTTTTTTGACCAATCTGTTTTGGAGTGTGACTGACATTCCTGCTGTTACAGCACAACCTGACACCAACTCCTGTGCCGACACCGGGCTCAAGCAACGTTCTGGACAGCCTTGACGCATTGGATTCTGATGTTGAAATTGTTGAGGCACCTCCAGCCCGCAAGTCGTCCCCATTTTTTCAAGACCAAAACAAGGCTGCTACTTCAATGGCGTCTACCCGACCTAGTGCGAATGCAAGTATTGACGATGGTCTAGAAGATATCGATTGGGATGCATGGGATGCAGACGTGTTGAACCATACAAGTTCTAGCGGCAGTCGCAAACGCTCGATGGATCCCTCAGGAACAACTCGGATTGCAAAGAAGCGAACAATCTGATGAACCTGCTTCACCTCGACCTCCATCACACACCGTCATCATTATGTGCGTAATATCATATTGTAGTCGTACTAGTTCCTTTCTAGATCAAGTCAAGGCTGATGAAACCTTGCGCTGTCTATAGAACGATATTATCGATCAGACGGCACTTGCCGATTTGGACAGCGACGGAAATGATGGCTCCTTCAGCTGTATCAACCTTGGACACCTCCTGCATCGTCTCCTTCGATCCTACTGACACATACTCGATGGCTGTCACCAGTGGTTCACGTCCGTACTCCTCATGAACAACAGTACGCAGCATTTCCGCATCAATTGCCGTTTTCCCGTCGTCCTTTGCTTTCTGGAACAGATCCTGCGCATATACAAGACCACGGTGCAGCACACTCGCCGCCTCGCGTTCCACAGGATTCAAGTACTGATTTCGAGTCGAGAGCGCAAGCCCATCCGCTTCACGTACAATCGGCACAACGCCAATCTCTACCGGAATGTTCAAGTCCGAGACCATACGTTTGATAAGCACGACCTGAGCGGCATCTTTCTGTCCAAAGAACGCGTGCGTAGGCTGCACAATGTTAAACAACTTGGTGACAATCGTCGCTACGCCGCGAAAGTGACCTTTACGGCATTGACCCTCCACCAAGTCATCGAATCCTTCTGGCTCGACATAGCAGCGATGATTCGGCGAGTACATTTCTTCTGCTGATGGAAAGAAGACCAGATCTACACCCTGTTGCTGCAATAGGGACATGTCTTCCTTGAAAGTACGTGGGTATTTCGTGTAGTCCTCGTTTGGTCCAAATTGCGTCGGGTTTACGAAGACACTGGCAGCTACAAAGTCACATGAGCGACGCGCTTGCTTCACCAACGATATGTGTCCGTCATGAAGACCCTGGTAGCATTGGTAAAGGGGGGGAAAGGCATATCATATCATTCAGTTGACAAGAGGGATACGTGATACAAATGAAGATGATACATGGCACGAAGAAAAACGGACCCCCATAGTAGGAACGAGACCCAAGGTGGCATTGGATGGAAGCGCGCAACGGGCCTGACGGAATGTGTCTACTGTCTCGAGAATTTGCATTGATTTACAGCTGGAGGTGAAAACCCGACTAGTGAGCGCTAGCCGTGTGAGTAAGCGACAAGTGCCAATCATGGCGGAAAAGCACTGATGTTTGATGGGCGTTGTTACAACGTCCTTGCAGTCGAAGCTCGTGTGGTTTACATGCGGGACAAGAGGACCGTCTTAAAGCGTGAGTCACTTCAAGTCTGGGCTGGAGAGTATTTATCCGTCATGCAAGAACTATGTAAAAATGTTGGATGATACATGTACATGCGTACAGGTTCGTAGCGTTTACATGAGCTCAAAAAAGCAAAAAGGTTTTTTTTTAGCAAATACTAAAGTTTAGCTTCCAACGGAACAGGTTTTGCGCTACAACATCGTGCTGGATCCAAGACTGAAGCGTAACACAATCTTTTCGAGGTCATTCAGACCTTATGCTTCTGATCTTGGAGTTTGATGGTGAAATTGAACGTCGAGGCTCTGCACGGACTTGGTACATCTTTAAGCTGGACGACAACGCGGCAGCTTTTTTTTGAGACCAAGGGAAGGTGGCAAAGATGACATTGTGATGAACGACAGGATCACTTGAGAACTCTTCTATTTCCAGTTGACACTCAGTTTCTTGCGCTTTCAAGGAGTATGCGATGTTTTGATCATTGTGGCATCGCTGTACGCGTCACAGTCCAACTCTCCCAGCAGCTTTTCTGATCGGGTCTGCAATTACAGAGAGCAGTAGTCCAAGTTATTGCAAATGCATCGTCTGCAAGCTACAAGTCTTCTCAACACCGTGTTTGGCTTCGTCACTAAAGCCCAAGGGTACAAATTTAACAGAGACCGACTGTCCTGTAATGAGATATTTTACATTGTCGCTGCTATGCTGGACAACGGATTCTATGGAACGCCTGATACGAAAAAACAAAAGTACTTGACATTGTCGTCACAACGAGGTGCTCGTCTCAATGTAGCAATGCAGGCATTGCTGATACAAACTCTTTACAATCTCTCAACAACAACGATTGTATTCAAGCACGTACAAACTGCCGCGCGTTGGCTGATCAAGAGACCGAAGACAAGACAAACAAGACAACTACTCAATCTCCTCACTTCATTACAAGCATCCAACACTCTCTTTCGAGCAGTCCAATCTCACTTGACACGTCTGCTATTGCCGTCTCGTTTGCTCGTGTGTAGAGCACATCACGATGGGTCATGACGTGGATGGGACGACAAAACTGTCGCGGGGCTCCCTCAGTGTCGCTCTGTGCGCTCTCTGCGCCGTCTGTAGCTCTACCGAGCCGCCCGGAACGATCCCCATTTTAGTCTCGGATTCCCACTCCCCTCAACTTTCCTCGACTTGTGGCGTCGTCAAGATGACCCCATCAAAGGTCTCGGTACGCAATAAACGCATCAAAGTGTGCGTTCGTCTTCGCCCCTTTACACGAACTGAGAAACTCAAGGCCGGTGGAAAAGCTGCTTGGACATGGTACAGTCGTACAACGTTTCTACCTATGCGTCCAAAAAAGAAAGTGACTGACCCATTTGTTTGCCCTCTTGTGACCCATTTTTGCCACGCGTAGGCATGAAAACACTATTTATCAGCAGATATTCCCGGCACAGATTCCATCACGGGTACTATCATCGGATGGCGAAGAGAAAAAGACTCGAAGTGGTGGTGGATCAACAGTCTCGTCAAAATCTTCGGCTTTACGAGATTCCATATCGACATTACCATCATCGTATTCTTTTGACTATTTGTATCCTCCAGCGACTCAAACTCAAATGGTTTATGACGAGACTGTCAAGGTAACAAGTCTGTTCAGAAATCAGTGACTCATTTTTTGTCACTTGACGAGTGGTAGAAGCTACGCTTGTCAATAAGTTTACTTGACCATGATGTTTTTTGTTTAAATTTGTTGTTTGATTTAGGATGTTGTTATGGCAGCTACAGAAGGTTATCATTCATCTGTATTTCTGTATGGACAAACGGGTACAGGCAAAACGTACACGATGCAGGTACTGTCATTTCTTTGAGTTTACTATTTACTGAAGATATTTTGTACGACGAACCAACTTTTTGTGCTGACTACTTGTCTTTTTTGCAGGGTGGACGAGGAGACCCTGGTATTATTCAGTTAAGTGTGCAAGATATCTTTGATCATATTGCACGGCATCCGAGGATGGAATTCTTGCTGCGGTTTTCGTATTTGGAGATTTACAATGAACGGATCCATGATTTGCTTGCGGCGGGAGCGAAATCGGACATTAAGATCTATGATGTGCACAACCGAGGAACTACAGGAAACGAACATGCTCGTGATGGGTTTGTCACCAAGGACGTGGTAATCAAAGGATTACGCGAAGAGATCGTGCTATCCACAGAGCATGTACTTTCGCTTGTGGAAGTGGGTAACCTGCACCGTCACATGGCTTTGACCGAGTCGAACGACCAATCGTCCAGATCTCACGTGGTGTTCCGAATGGTAAACAATCGCTTTGCTTGTGTATAGCTTTGCATTGTCTGCACTGTGGATAGTCCCAGTCAGACAGGGAGCTTCTCGACTCGACAACATCCTGCTACAGAGTAGAACAAAGTCCTGAACTGATTCGTTTACTGACGTCGCGGTATGTTTGTGCTTGTTTGAAGGTGATCGAGAGTCAAATGAAACGGAATAGTCGTGATCGAGGCGAAGTGGCGCCAGTGCGCTCCGCAACCTTAAACATTATCGATCTCGCCGGTTCCGAAAGCGTCCGACTCGCCAACACCACCGGGCAGTCTTTAGAAGAAGGCAGGTTCATCAACCGCAGCCTGCTTACACTTGGGCACATCATCTGGAAGCTCAGTCGCGATCGCCACAGGACAGGATCCGGAAACGTCACAGCTTCCAGCACACCGCATTTGCCGTATCGCAATTCTAAGCTCACTCGAATTCTACAGCCGTCGTTGGGTGGCCAAGCACAAATCGCGATTGTTTGCACTGCGTCGCCATCAGTAGAATGCTTGACGGAGACGCACAACACGTTGAAGTTTGCAAGTCGTGCACGTAGGGTGCGCAATCGGGTAGTTATAAACGAAAGTTTGGGCGAGTCAGCATTGCTGCGAAAGTACCGAGCTCGAATTCGAGAATTAGAAGAACAGCTCCACCATTTACAGATCCGTCGGCGACCACGAGAGTCTACGCAAATGAGCAGTTCTAATCCAACGACACTGACTGAGCGCCAGATGGAGATTAAATTCGCCATCAACAACATTAACAGAGTGATCCTGAATTCCTCGGAAGCACAAGAGCGACCTGATGAGGAGGAGCTTGCATCTGTGGATGAAGATACATTTCCTGCAATGACAACGCCTCCTCGTACGTTGGAACCACCTCATCCACTACCACCATCAATTCAGACGACTCAACGAGGTGAGCACGCCACAGGCCAAACCCAGCGAAAACCAGCTCCAAAACAACTTGCAGCTCGACAACAAGTGGAGATGAAATCTCAGGCCCCTCAGACGCAGTCCAGGGCAGCAGCTCGGCCGTTACTTCGCCAAACACCAGTACACAGTACCAGCAATGTCAGCATTGATCAACCTGAGCCCGAAGAAGAAGAGGAAGGCAAGGACGAGGGTCATGCACGACCTCGGCTTGTTCACTCTGGAAGCTCCACCAACACATCAAATAAGACACTGATCGGGAGTGGTGGCAGCGCGAGCACCAAGACGCTGCCGCTCTCCTCCTCATCATCTCGACAGCTCACGGACAACGACGACGACCTCGCAGAAACCAAAGAAGAACATGAAAATAAAGAAGACGAACCTGAACGCGAAGAGGATGTACTGCATGACACCCGAACCCATTCGGAAGTCATCTCCGAACAAGCCCCCATTGCACCGAATGCAATGTCTACAGCTCCGTCGTCCGTATCGACTAGCAGTACCCGCCCGTCACTCACCTCAATGCTCAAGACAAAGTACTTGAACGAGTTGTCAAAGATGGATCAGCGTGCAGGGCGATGGCAGCACACGGAGGAAGGGGAGCTGTTGAACCAGAAAGAATTGCTTCGTGAATTTGTGCGCGGACTTGAAATCGCCCAGGCGGAGCAAGAGACACGCATGAGCAAAATTCGGGAATTGGAGTTGGAGAATCATCGACTGCACCAGGCAGTAGTTTCACGCGATGACGAGCTCGCTCAGTTAAAAACAGAGACCACTCGATAGACGCGTATTCTGAAAGTCTGTCACGATGCAATTCGTCAGCGAGGGCTCATGAACACACAAGGGTATATATATAGAAGTAAGGACAGGAAAACTATAGATTGTATAAGGTGATGGATGATACCAGCAGAAGTTGGCTGGAATGGAAGTGCATAATGTCGTAGATGATCTACAGCACCAAATTCATAGAAGCAAAAGTTAATAATCGTGGTCAGTTCAACTATCCCATTAAATTCTTCAAGTGCTTCCTTACTACACTGACCTGTTGTCATATTTGCGGGCTTACTTGGAAGCTGACGCAAGGCAAGTTTATCCGACGTGCACGTAGCTCAAAACTCCATCGTGTCCTGTAGCACGCGTATTCGTTTCTTTAGTTGTCGTCATGTTGACAGCGAGGGATCAACATAGAGCTGAGCTCCACGTGACACACCTGCGATTATATGATCCATCTCCGTCGATGTGACTATTCCATCGCCTTTAGGTCTGCCGAAACCGTAAAAGACGCCTCCGTACGCTCGCGAATCTCCTCCACTGTGGTTGTCGGCGCAATTTCCACCAGCACAAGACCTTTGCCATCCACCACGTCGAACACGCCCAATTCCGTGATGACGGTGTTCACGACGCTCTTACCAGTAAGCGGTAGAGAACAATCCTTGAGAATCTTCTTGGCCCCACCTTTTGCATTATGCTCCATCGTAACCACGACACGGTTACCGCTACCAACAAGGTCCATTGCACCGCCCATTCCTTTCACCATTTTGCCCGGGATAATCCAGTTCGCAAGATCGCCATTCTCTGCGACCTGAAGTGCACCTAGAATCGTCAGATGCACATGACCGCCACGGATCATAGCAAATGACTCTGACGACGAGAAGGTAGATGACCCTGGCAAAAAAGTTACAGTTTCCTTGCCAGCGTTAATCAGATCTGGATCCTGCGAGCCCTCGTTCGGATATGGCCCCATGCCCAGGAGTCCGTTCTCACTCTGTAGAATTACCTTGACTCCATCTGGCACGTAATTAGACGCTAACGTCGGCAAACCAATACCCAAGTTCACATACATTCCATCCTTCAATTCTTTAGCCGCGCGGCGGATGATGCGCTCGCGGTCTGGTGAGATTTTGTACTGTGAATTCTGGAACAAAGTCGTCATCAATCCAGCTACTTTCTACTCATGTCGTCACACACATTAAAACAGCAAGGATTTAACCTTACCTTTGCTTTGGCAAGCGTGAGCCTTTCAATTCGCTTTTCCGTCTTGTTGGCCTTAAAAATGCGCTGCACGTAGATCCCCGGCAAATGAACTTCGTCTGTTAGCAATAAAACAACACACCACAAACGTGTTACAATGCCACAAAAACCCATCGTACGAACGACAACTAGAGCGACAACAAGACACGTAACCTGGATGAATATCTCCTGGTTGCACCAATTCCTCTACTTCTGCAATTGTAATTTGACCAGCTTTGGCTGCATCAACATTAAAATTGCGTGCCGTGCCTCGAAAAACTAAATTGCCGTCTGTATCTCCTTTCCACGCCTTGACAAGTGCAAAATCACCCGTAATTCCTTCTTCCATCACGTAATTGCGACCATTAAATTTGCGAACTTCTCTTGGAGCACTTGGAATATCAATGGAGCCATCCGATGTCAATTTAATTGCAAATCCTCCTTCCTACACGTATTTTCACCTCGATTAGTACAACAACACATTTTTTTAAAGTATCTTGAGCTGAAAAAAAACAATCGGTACTGACTTGAATGATTGTACCATAGGCCGTTGGTGTATAAAAAGCTGGAATTCCAGACCCACCAGCTCGAATACGTTCAGCCAACGTTCCCTGTGGTGTTAACTCGACTTCTAACTCTCCAGTTAGATAAAGTTTCTCAAAAAGTGCATTTTCCCCCACATACGACGAGATCATTCGTTTGATCTGTTTCATATAAAGTTATAGAGGTTATGTTAGTATCCATGTAAATCGACTTATTTCATCACCTTTTGTCATTTTGTTTGTAAAGAACGTGTTTCCTACTGACTTGGCGTGTTTGAAGTAACAACCCTAACCCAAACTGATCGACTCCTGCATTGTTAGAAACACAAATCAAGTCCGTGGCTCCCTACATAATCATAGAAAATAGAAATATGACTATATAGAGGATAGAAATGAAAGGAAAACCCTCGCTCGCTCTCCACCTGCTTCACCAGTGCTTCAATTGCATTCTCTGGAATCCCACAGAGTCCAAATCCACCTACAATACTAGTGGACGATGCATACCAGGTTAGAAAAATGGTTAGAAATATATGCCAACGAATTAGAAATGAAGACACCATGGTTAGAAATGAAGGCATAAAGAAATACAAGTACTTGTTTACTTACAGTTTCGAATTGGATCGTAGATCCTTCACAGCAGCATCAGCATTTGGATATACTTTATGATACGAGGAGAAGGGAGTGGAGAATGTCCTTATATAGAGAGTTTGGAGGGGGTGAACAGGAAGTAGACGCAGCATTTCGGTAGGTTTTAGAAATGACACGTTAGAAATGAAAGTTGCTCCACTTCAACACGCGTTAGAAATACAGCATAAAGCGTCTTAACATTTTTGTTTACACATAGTATTACAAATAAGAGGTCGAGTACGAAACCTTTTAGTATCAAAGGGTATTCTTAAGTAGAACACGATCGGTGGAAAAGGACATGTGGTCCACATACTTGCTCGTACCAGTGTCAGTTTCATCAGATCTGTTCTACCTCGATTCTACCACGACAAGAAATGGCTTCAACGACAAAGAAACTAAACCTAGCTGACCCGGAGATTAAAAAACAGGCGTTAAAAAGTGTCGCCATGACGATTCCCATTGTACCATATAAAGGCGTTGATTTCTTTGATATTGGGGGTCTATTAGCAAATCCCGTCAACTTCCAACTGACGTTTGATTTATTTGTACATATTGTAACGCCTTTTATCCATCAAGTGGATACCATTGGATGCTTTGATGCCCGTGGGTTCCTCTTTGGTCCCTATTTAGGTACCTTTTTTCAAAAACGTGTCTTTATGCTGCGTAAACCTGATAAAATGCCGAATATAAGCGACACAATTGACTATTGTAAAGAATATCAAGGTGATAATACCACGGGTGGAGATTCGTTAAGCATTCAAACCTATGCTGTCAAGAAAAAAGACCGTGTACTACTAGTAGATGATCTCCTGGCCACGGGTGGGACGTGTGAAGCCGGTATTCGTCTCGTACAACAAGCAGGTGCTTCGGTAATTGCGTCGATCTTTGTCGTAGAGATCAGTGAACTAAACGGTCGAGAACGTGCTATCAAGGCAAGCACGGACAAAAAAGTTCGCATCATGTCATTGCTTACGGAAAAGGACTTTTAGTAGTGTCGTAAGTTGGACATTTCTTTGGACCAAGAATTGTGTCGTGCTGACTCGGGCGTTGCTTTTAGTCTATCCGGTCGTAGCTGCTGCTGGGACCGAAAGAATGAGACTCCACATGGCGACGTCGTTGTTGTCACCTCTTCCTACAGAACAAATGCATTTATTATCTATTAATAAATTCAGTATCAACACCTTGAAAGCAAAACCTCTTGCTTGAGTAGAGAGAGAGAGGAGAGAGAGAGAGAGAGAGAGAGAGAGATGGTTGAAGCGTAGTGTCATTTAATCTGTCGACGGTGATCTCTAGCCATTGCTCCATGATGTTCTTGTGTGAATGCAAGTGAACGTTTTCATATTCACTGCACCTTTGCATTGCCGTGTTGTCGAATGCCGATGTCAAACGAGCTGACACGACGTAGGAGGGACCATGTAGATCAACCGTTCCATGCACCTTGACAAGTCTTTGTCTAGAAAAGCAGACGTTGAACACGTTGTCCAACATCCCGCAATCTGTCGTAACACTGCACTTGCTACGCTGTAGCAAAAGAGCGACAACGCTGCTCAACGTGGGGTACAAGTATTTCGATTGACTGCCAATGAGCAAGTTGATCGATTCACCGAAAGTGATGCATGTGCTACTGAAAAGCCAGCGCCATCGTTACGTTGAGCATGTTGTCGGACGCTTACTTTGTAACCCCAGTGGAACTTGTGAACAAATCGAATATCCGACTCCGATCGTGTCCATTGAAAGGACACAGAAATGATTATTACTAGGAGACACTTGGTAAGTAGACGGTTTTCTTCACATGTCGTCACATTGGAATAGGATGGGCGCTTCATGGAAGTTGATGCTCTTGAAAAGTAATCGTGGATCGTCGAATCGAGTGGCAACGTGTATGGCATCGCATTGATACTTTGAGTTGCAATGAGCCCCATGGACTTGACTAGAGACGCAATGGACACCAAAAAACAAGAGATGGACCAAGACCAGCGCGCCAAGAATCGACTTATCGTCAAGCGCTGCTACTACAAGAAATTGGTATGAATGCATGCACCACTGATGGAAAATATGTTTTGGGCTGGAAGGTTCCTTCGATAGCTTTGTAGTGATGGTCTTCAGGTGACTGACTTAACAAATGGGTGCTTGTCACGTACAGAGCACTTTGAATGAACTCCGGGATCAAGTCACGACACTGGAAACAGAGTACGAGCGGCTATTAGAAGCGCATCATCAGCGAGATGCACAACCTTCAACCGAAGAATACACGGATGACAATGGTGCTTCTTCTTCAGCTTTGCACCGAGCATACGTTCAGCTAGCTCAACTCAAAAGCGCCTTGACAAAAGAGAATGCCGAGTTGAAGAGGCTCGAAGCCGATCATGTGACGATGGAAAAACAAGTTGCACAACTGACTGCTGCACAGGGCAAGGCTGCGGCTGCAGTGCGGCTGGCACAAGAGGACAAGCGCGTCAATCCAATGTTGATAGTAAACCCATTGAGTCTTGAACAGTGTCACACCATAGCGCAAGTGGCGTACGATGAAGTATTGACATTCCGAGAAAGCACCAAGTGCTTTACCAACGGGACCAACATCTTGGGTTGGAAAGACCGACACAAACTGCTTCCTGACAAGCTCATGTTTTGCCTAGAAAAGGCATTTCATGATAGAACGCTGGAGGAAGTATCACGTGGTATGTGGCACGTGCTTTCGCAACCGGAGTCACTCTCGAAAATGTACCCGCGCGATGTAAAATCTCACTTCCACGTGACCCAACGACTAGATGAGAACACGGTGATTTACTATCATACACTGGAACGTGAGGAGACTGAAGTGCGAGTGCGTGCTTTTATCTTGGCGATGCGCGTTGACCTTGGACCCGACAGATGTATAGTGTTCTATCGTAGTCTCGATCCAAAAGCGTATCTCCATCAAGAAGGTGACATGGTGGTGCGTGACCCACGCGGTCGGAAGAAGGTGGAGCCACAAAAAGAAGAAGTATGGATGGAAACATTTATCTGGGGAGTTTACGAGCGTGCTGGTGAGCTAGGAGAACATTGCAAGCATGATGTTGGAGGTGTGATTGAGAGCACTGAACTTGCCACTGCCGGTTGGTGGGGACTTGAAATCTTACAGATTGCAATGCGCTTTGAAGCGCAAGTGATGGGTCCTCAAGCTCTCCTACAATGATTCCTGGAGTGATCGTGTATTTCTATTGTCCAAGTTCCTTTTCCACTAGTGTTCAAGAGGTGACCGAGATACTGTTACAGCTGAACGTCCAGACATACCGTTCCGAGTAGAATTCTTTGCCTTTATTTCGTTAAGCACCCTTCGCAGCAAGAACTCTTGATGGAACTAAGTCTCTGCGCTTGCAAAGCATTTGGGTCAGTTGCCATTGTTCTAGCCACACTGAATAAAACTTTCATCCTTGGGTTTCATCTTCTCTACGGAGGTTACTCCAGCTCTTGCACTATAGAACGTGTGGTGGTGCAGCACTCGGACTGGTAGCTCACTTACAATACTCTGCGCCATACACGGCTTACACCGAATAACCAGTCGATGAGTGCACCGAACAAAATGGGTGACCACGTCCGGGTTTACCAGACGATCCTTTTCGTTTTCAACCAGTCTAACATGCACTACTTGGTCTTTTGTGTGGCCACGACTTAGGCCAGCAACTTGTTGCGTTGATAGCACACGCGAGACAATCCGATCGGGTTGGCCACCCAGGTTTTGCAACATTACGTCTTCAATCAATTCCACCGAGATCGAGTCTACAGTTGCCTTACAGGCAGATCCATCCACACGACATTGAAGCGAGATCACTGTACCTGAAGGATACATATCTTTCGGAACCTCGACCATCATCTGTAAATTGCCACGCTTGATGCAGCACAGCCAGTATACCGCCTCCGACGCATAAACCTCGAGAGCTCTTGCTGGTGGGATGATTTTCGGTGGAGCGTGTACCGTAAACTCCTGCTCTGCATTCAAGTACGCAACCAAGTCACTGTCCATTCGGAGCCACACACTTGTCTGGTACTTGATCCGAATTTGTAGACGATCTGCTGTTTCACAATAGACATCGTGTAGTTCAAAGCTCGAAGGAAGATCCATTGGTAATTGAAACTCGAAACGGTATTCCCGTTCACCGACATCGTACAATGTTGACGGCGTCAATTGAATCTAGTGGTTTGAACAACACTTAGTGCTAGATAGTGTTGCAAGTGCACTGGTTATATCATCAACTCACCTTGTGCTGTAGAAAGATTCTGTCAAAAGCATAAGTGACGGGGCTGTAACCTCCTTCGTCCCATGAAACCGCTTCTCTTCCCTGAAAATCCACCACCAAAGCTGCACAGAAGCAGATCAATAATGAACAACCGAACCAGCACCTACTAAAACCTAATGGCGGACTCACGTTCTTTTGTCTCGACCACCTCGAGCATGCAAAGTTTCACGACACCACGAATGACGTCACCGGGAGCAAAACTTTCCTTGTCAAGCGTAATACTCAACCGTCCACTAACACCCTCAACCGACTCACGCTTGACCATCCTATTAAGCACTTAGCAGTCAATCGTACACTGGATTTGCCTGCATTCGGGCTTGAGCCATACAGAGGAAAATAACTAGCAAACGTGATGCATTTTCATGGAAAGTTGCTGCTTTTATTTGATGTTTTGTCGACCGTTAGATGCCGATTTTTCAATGAAGGAGAGCTTTTGATCACTATCGAACGTAAAGCTGCTAGTTGAGCATTACTAAACTGTTAACGCGTCTGACGTGGTAGTTTATGTAACGATAGCTCAACTACTTCACTGTGCTGCCAAATGAAAAGTAGTATTAAGAGTTAAACTACTACTAAAGTAAATGTATAAACCCTTCATAAACTGATCACACAATCCAGATCATTCGAAGAACACTGTCCATGCAAGTTGTCCTTTTCACGACACACACATCACTGACGTAATTCGTGATCCTCTACACTCCCCTTCAACTTGCACTCTCGCGAATTCCAGTTTCATCGCGTAGTCGCATCAATTGTGGAGCACCAAGCGGCTTCGTCAGGTAATCAGCAAGTTGCATAGCTGACGGAACATGTTTGAGCTGGATATCACCTTGCTCAATGTGGTCTCGAACAAAATGCATCCTAAGGTCAATGTGCTTAGCTCTTGGAGTATATCCCTGATTCGTCGCAATACTTATAGCCGACTTGTTGTCCATGTGCACTGTAGTCGCAGTCTTACATGTGACACCCATCTCTTTCAGCAAATAACGAATCCACATATCTTCTTGCGTAGCTAGTGCCAGTGCCATATATTCCGCTTCAGCAGAGGATAAAGCCACCGAACTTTGGCGTTTGCTTTTGTATACGACAGCTGCACCTCCGAGTAAAATCAACACTCCAGACGTAGATCGACGAGTTTTCTTATCATTTCCCCAATTCGCGTCACAGTATGCCCAAAGCATCATCTTTTTGTCGTCCGATTTGTTATACTTAATTCCGTGCGATTTTGTTCCCATGAGATAGTGTAAAACACGTAAAGCCGCTCGCCAGTGCATCTGTCGTGGCTGGTCCAAGTACTGCGATAATACTGACATCGCGTAGCTTATGTCCGGTCGCGTTGCATTCGCAATATACAGCAGCGAGCCGACCAATTTGCAATACGAAGTAATGTCTTTAACCACTGGGTGTGATTCATCCGGAGTTAGGTCCTGTCCTGCGCAGATAGGGTTGCGAACTGCATAAGCTTCATTTTGCTTAAACTTCGAGACCACCTTCATAATAAATTGGGACTGTTTCAACACCAACTCCCCCTTTTCTTGTGAGTAGTTAACTTCCATGCCCAAAATAAACCGCGCAGCTCCAAGTGACTTGACAGTAAAATGTTCTGACAATTCCTTATAAATCGTGTCCGCCTCTGCATCTGACTTGCATCCAATAAGGAGGTCGTCCACATACAAGACTATGTATGTGGGTGACTTATTTTTTGCATTATTGCGTCGAACAAAAAGACATGTGTCTGCTCGACATTGTTCGAAGCCCATGGCCGAAAACACAGAGCATATTTTCTTGTGCCAAACCGCAGCCGCTTGTTTTAATCCATATAAGCTGCGTCGTAATTTGCACACCATTCCAGGTGCAATTTCAATTCCATATGGTGCCTCCATGTAAACGTCTTCTTCCAAATCACCATTCAAAAACGCCGTTTCCACGTCAAATTGTCGAATTACATATTGCATACTGCAACAAACAGACAAAAATACACGAATCGTGTTTGAGCATGCTACAGGTGAATATGTGTCGAAGTAATCAAAACCATGCGTTTGCAGATATCCGAGGGCAACCAAGCGTGCTTTGTAACGAACAATTTGACCGTTTTCATCGTACTTGTAACCAAATACCCACTTGTGACCAATGACCTTGACACCTGGAGGACGATTGACAGCATCCCATGTGTGGTTCTTAAGATGAGCATTAATTTCTGCTTGAATTGCTGCCTTCCATTTTTCTGCGTCCATCGACTGTAACGCCTCTCGTAAATTCATTGGTACATCAGTAGCAGAAAGCGATATTTCGTAATCGTCAACACATTGACGTTTAGGGTCCGGCTCTTCATTTATGCCATCGACAGGTGATCCATCAGTTAAAAGCGGTAGATCAATCCTCTCATCGTCAAAATCATCATTCGTGAGTAGACGAGATGACGTGAATGTACTATAAGGTCTTTTGTTCGACCCTGAGTATATCTCCATTCGATCATCTGGGGCACGGGAATTCTCACAAACTATAATAGCTCGCGACTGATCAGGTATTCCTGAGAGCATGTGTGTACCATTATTGCTACTTCCAGCGACCGATCCGTGTGAAGTACGACGTATCATCGAATTGTTTGTGTCAATGACTTGTATGTCTGTGCGCTCCCCCTCAATCGGAACAACATCTAAGTTTTGTGACTGATTGAGATCTCCAGACGCATCCACAACCATGTCTTCCCAACTAGTATCATTGTCAGCAGTTTCATCAACGTCCATTTCGTCATCCTCGTTATTCTTGTTCAAATCAGGTACTTCCACCTTTACTTCGTCTAAATCATCATGATAATGATTGCATTGAGCTAAAGGTTCACCTAAAACAACAACATCTTTGTACCGCGAAGGAGGACTCTCGTTTAGCGTAACGGACCTAGTCGTAACCAATTGTCCTCTCGCAATATCCCACACTCGGTACGCCTTTGAATTTTCCGAATACCCGAGAAAAATACACTTGTTTGCCTTGCTGTCCCATTTAGTGCGCTTGCAATCCGCGACTCGTAGATAACCAGTCGAACCAAAGACACGGAAATGACTTAAGTCTGGCTTCGACCCATACAGAGTTTCAAATGGACTAACGTTGGGTCGCGCAGTATTAGGAATTCGATTGATGGTGTAAGCAGCCGCCATAATCGCCTCACCCCACCAAGAACGATCAACTTCCATGTGATATATCATTGATCGGGCCATCTCAACAAGAGTTCGATTCATCCTTTCTGCTAAGCCGTTTTGTTGAGGATTGTACGGCACGCTCCTCTGGTGGATAATCCCTAGATCTGCACAGTACTTGTTAAAGCGATGATTCGTATACTCTCCACCATTGTCACTACGGATGCATTTAATCTTGCAATCCGTTTGCTTCTCCACCATAGCACGAAACGCCTTAAATCGCTCAAAAACTTGGGACTTTGCTGCTAGCAAATATACGTAGACAAATCGACTGTAGTCGTCGATAAATGTGAGTACATATAGAGCCCCACCTTTCGACTTCGGATTCATAGGTCCCATAAGATCGGTGTGTATAACCTCAAGTGGTCGACTTGTTTTAACTTCACTTCCTGAAGTATGACTGAACGGGCTGTTTGTCATTTTTCCGCGTGCACATCCATCACATACACCGCCATCAGATGCGACAACTCTCGAAATACCATCGCAAGACTTCATCGCTTGCATAATCTTTTTCGTAGACACATGACCGAGGCGAGCATGCCACAGTCCACTAGTGTCATTTATCGCACCACTGCTCTCAGCCTTGTGTGCCTCTAACGTGATATGTTGTTTTACATTCCACGCAAACAGCTTTCCCACTCGTTTAATTACTGCTACAGTCACGTCGTCACTTATCAAAACTGCTTGATCACGCTTGAACTGAACAAGCACGCCTCGGGCCGTCAACGCTGCTACAGACACAAGTTTCTTGTCTAGCCCAGGCACATACAACACCTCCGTAAGTTTGACTGTACGACCATTTTCGAGTATAAATCGAACTTTGCCTGTTCCTTGCGCCTTCAACTGATGTCCATTTGCCACAGTGATGTAAATTGGGGTACTTAAATCTTCGTATTCCACAAATTCACGCTTGTCATCAGTCATATGACGACTTGCCCCACTATCCAGCAACCAAGTTGAATTCGAAATTGGTTCTTCACTGAATGCCGAAAAAACGAATTCATCACCAGGTCTCGATGGTTTCACGTTACGACACTGCGATCTCTTGTGTCCATGCCGGCCACACGCAAAGCATTTGCCTTGAAAACTCGCATAAGCTTTTCCTTTCCTCGAAGTTTGGTAGCGATCTCGATTTTCTTCTTGACCACGGTGTCCTCGGTTACTTTGAAAGCGTCGAGGTTCATTACGTTGAGCGTGTGCCTTAAAAGCGGTTTCCTTCTTGTCTCGCTTCTGAAGAGTGTCATACTCCCGGCGGAGCATCTCTTTTGCGTCTAACAGCGTCACGTTGCTGTGCGCCTCAATGATGCGCACCATATCATCATATTCGGATGATAAACTTCCCAAAAGCAAAACTATCTTTTCATCATCATCCATGCTGTCACCGGCAGCTCCGAGCTTGAGACACAGCTCATCAAATTTTAGTAGATGGTCCATAAGACTCGCACCAGTCTCCATCACAAATTCATGTAATTCTTTCCGAAGTTGCACTCGGTTGTGAAGATTTTTCTTCGCAAAGAACGTCTTCAGAACCTCCCAAGCTTCAAACGCAGACTCACATTCCCGAACCATGCACTGATAGGTTGGAGAGAGTAGCTTCACCAGTACAGCCAGAGCCTTCATATCGGCGACTTTCCATCCGGGATTCTCCCGCAGCACTGCCGGCTCTGGCTTAATCAAAACGTGATCCAAAAGATCCTTGCGCGCGAGTGTCATGCGTGCATTAAATTCCCACATGAAGTAATTGTCATCCGTGAGGATGTCATTAGGAGCCAACGTATTTGGGCTCATAACCTGTAACGATAGCTCAACTACTTCACTGTGCTGCCAAATGAAAAGTAGTATTAAGAGTTAAACTACTACTAAAGTAAATGTATAAACCCTTCATAAACTGATCACACAATCCAGATCATTCGAAGAACACTGTCCATGCAAGTTGTCCTTTTCACGACACACACATCACTGACGTAATTCGTGATCCTCTACAGTTTTAAGGTTTTCATTCCTTCTTAGCATGCAACTAAAGTAGATGTATTGAATCTGATACTTGAAGCTACATCAACTCATCATCTGTGCTAGTTCTGTAGCTAATGATGCATTCATTGAATCAATCCCTTAGGAAAAAAAAGTATCTTCATGCAAGTACTTGTGCATCATGAACATCTCGACGATAGGTACATTCTTGTAGCCATGCAGAAAATATGTACGGACGGCCGTATTTGTACGCACGAGACAGTCAATTTTTTGTATCTATACGGCTATTATTCGAACGCAGAAATTTCAAGTTCGACATTTGCATAAAAAGCGCTTGCCTCACCACTTTCTCGCCAAAAATCCGATTATACACTATACTGTATACGAATATTTCGTCCACCAATTGAATGGCGGACAGCACTCCTCCGCCTAGTAAGAAGCAGCGTCGCAAGGAGAAGAAGGCTCGATGGCTCGCTGAGCGGAAAGCTTTGGAAATGACTAGTGGCAATGGATCGATCCAACGAAAACGTCGAAATCGACGCCAAAATCGCACAAGTGTAAGTGTACGACCGTCCCCCACCGTCCACTATCAAGTGTGCACGTCCACTACATGTGCCAATCGACTGGCAGGCAGGAATTGCATCATTCGAAGCATAGCTCCTTATCTACATTGTTTTGAAGTGTTTGTTAAAGGTCGTTGGACTGGCTGTTCAGTAGGTAAAGTGTTAATGAACGAATTCCCGACACTATCGAGTGCCTATTGTGCTCGAGTGGTGCAATTGGGACTTTTTCGAGTGAATGGAAGCAGAACGAGTCTTGACTCGGTCCTTCAGAGTGGAGATTTCTTACAACATTTCAAGCATCGACATGAACCAAGTCTTCATGTACCAGTACAAGAGTTCTACAATGTGGCAAAGGAGGCACCAGTGTCCACGACATGGATACACTTTGAAACAAACGAGATGATTGTTGTGAATAAACCTTCAGGTGTTCCTGTGCATCCGACTGGAAGGTTTCAATATAATTCATTGACGCACATACTGCAGCATGATCGACGTGAAAGTGCTGGAGAAAACGAGATTGAGACACGAAAACTGTTTCCAGTGCATCGACTGGATCGATTGACATCAGGGCTGTTACTGCTTGCCAAGACGGCCGAGAAGGCACGTAGTCTTAGTGCCGAGTTGACGGCCAATGCATCAATGGAAAAGCCTGCAAGTCGCGTAATGCAAAAGTACTATGTGGCAAGAGTAAAGGGTGAGTTTCCAGATGAGAAAGATGGGTTTGAAATGCTGCGCTCGAAACTTGTAACGATTAAAACGGCGAGGGATAACTTCTGGCGTGTTACAGCTTCGATCGGACTGAAGTCTCCACGTCAAGGACATGTGCGGTGTGTGACCGAGGCTGTTGACTCAAAGCCTTGTGTGACTTTGATGCGTCGCCGCGGAAAAGCTGGAAAAAATGAAAGTATTGTCGAGTGTCTGCTTGTAACGGGGCGAACGCACCAGATCCGAGTGCATCTGCAGCATTTAGGCTTTCCTATTGTGAATGACCCACTTTATGGCTCTGTGCCAAAGGAGAATGTTACCAAGTCTACCGTAGTAGTGCAAGCATCGACTGAATCCAATGAAGGTGGTGACACCACAGAGTCTTTTACAGACAATGAAGTCCATGAACAGCATTGTATCAATGCATGTGATGTTTGCACTGCTGAAAAAGAAGGAATCTCACTGATCGAGGAAGAAGACACCGTCTTATGCTTACATTCGTATCGATACGAATCACCGACTTGGTCGTTTCAAGTGCCATTACCACTCTGGGCACAGGACGAATCCATCACATGAAGGTAACTGCACCAAGCTTCAAATTTATCTTCCTCGTGGAACATATCATCATAGCAACTTCATCTCTACTCAAGTAGAAGACCAGTCGTTTGTATCTGATCTGATCCAGTAGGTAGTACCAAAACTTTTGAGCTCGTCTCATTTTTCAAGATGCAGTCTCTCTTGAAACGACTTTCCCACCACCACCTTCGACTCTTGATCCCTCATCTTCATCATACACGTAACATTTCTCATCGTATTCAAACGTTACCTGCCAATGTCTTTGCTGAATTTTCAGCCCTTGCCATGAAACATGATGCTGTAAACTTAGGTCAAGGTTTTCCATCGTTCGAGACCCCTCCGTTTGTCAAACAAGCAGCCATTCATGCGATTCAAAACAATCAGAATCAATACACAAGACCTGGTGGATACGTCCCGTATGTTGAGACCCTTGCAACAATGTATTCTCATCTTTTGAAGCGAGAGTTGAATCCCATGACTGAAATTGTCACGTTCAATGGAGCTCAAGAAGGACTTGTGTCCATCATGGCAGCAATCTTGGAACCAGGAGATCAAGTCATGACTCTGGAGCCGTATTTCGATGCATACATGACAGTCTCTCAATTCCATGGAGTTGAAGCTATTGGTGTCCCCTTTTCCTATGAACCGATGAAGAGCTCCATGTCGTTGTCATCGCGTGAGTTTCAATTGGATTTGAAGACATTGGAGACCCTCGTGACGTCAAAGACAAAGCTGTTGGTGCTTAATACACCTCATAATCCTACGGGGAAAGTCTTGTCTCGACATGAATTGCACCAACTGGGACAAGTATTGGAACGTCATCCACATGTCATTGTCCTAGCAGATGAAGTCTATGAATTCATGACGTACGATGGACTGTCACATGAGCGGATTGCAACACTACCGGGCTTTTTTGATCGTACGATCTCGCTCTTTAGTGCCGGGAAAACGTTTTCATGCACGGGTTGGCGTGTAGGTTATGCTGTAGGTCCAGCACATTTGATTGAGGGTGTCATCAAGGCACACAGCACGGTTCCATTTTGTGGTACGACGCCGTTCGAGGTTGCGCTGACATCAATTTTTCACGAGGCGAAACGTAACGGGTACTACGATGACCTGAGAGAATCAATGGAGGTACGTTAGGTTAAGTCATCTCTTGTTCATGGATGATAGTATACAACTTACATTACATGCATGAGATGCAGGCCAAGCGTAATCGTCTGTGCGATGCGCTTCAGGCCTACAATTGGCGTCCCATCGTTCCAGAGGGTGGCTACTTTGTGTGCTGTAACGTCGAGGACCTGCCCTTTTACGATGAGTTTCGTGGCATTGAAATCACGCCGGACACCCCGAGGACGGTGCGTTTCTAGTTCTTGAGCTTGTGACGATGGGGTCTTGTTCTCTCACAGAATCGATTGGTTTGCTGTGTGATAGGAGTTCGCGGATTATCAGTTCGCGTACAAGCTGGTCAAAGCTGGTCATCTTGCAGTGATCCCAACGTCACCTTTCTTCAGTCGTCCAGAGAACCGTCTTGCTCCAGGTGTCGTGCGTCTTGCTTTCTGCAAAGATGACAAGACGCTGGACGATGCTATTCGCGTCATCGAGTCCCTCAAGAACTAGACTCTTTCCTGCACTTCCTGATCGAGCAACGTAGATGTAAGCCTCGCCGTCATTCTCAATGGTGATGTCACTCAATGCCGCACATGTTTTGATTGACGTAGTTCCGAATCTCTTTTGCTGTTGACTCCGAAATCCACGGCAGCATCCGTCTCCAGTGCATTTCATTAAATTTGAGCACAGGCACCTTCCCTGCTGCAAAATTCTTGAAGCGAAAACTAAGAGAAAGCGCACTATCTAGTGATAACGGCTCAATCGTGCGGAAAAACACGAGGCGGGAAGCAAAATCCGCGTCTAGTTCACTGCATGTCCCACCACTAAAGTCAGGATGACACAAGCTTGGAGATGGTGCTTCATAACCTTCTACAAGCTCCTGACGGGCAAGTTGATGGAGCTGCGCACACAAGAAATTAAAGCACGGCTGAACAACAACCGTTGCATTTGGCAGTTGTTTCAATCGCGGAACCTCAGGAAGATCACTTCCATCGTAAACACCCGCCACAACGATCTTCTTGTGCATTGCCACTAGTGTCCGAATCCGCCGACTTTTTACCATATTTTCCATTGGAGAAGCGAGAGTCAAGTCCTGCAGCTCCGGACCGGTCAGGAATAGTACTGCCATGCGCACACTTAACAGAGCATCCGCCTCCAACGTGTCATCGATGACCACATTGCAATCGGCGTGCTTGGCTGACAGAAATGTAGAGAATCCACTTGACCTACCGAAGGATGAGCTCACGAAGATGACCCACTTCGGTGATAGATCCTGCTCAATAGATTCAGGTCGCGTCGGTTTCGGGCTTGTAAGGTCAACGGTAGTCACAGTGCGTTGGAAACCTTCACCTACAAAATTTGGGCTACTTGTCGTCAGTGCGTATTGGTGAGCAGCTGTCTCGTCCTCGTGCGTCTTCTTGGTAATAGTAGCTGCAACGGAAGCGCAACCGTGGTCAGCGGCTCTGTGAAGGGGGACCTCCTTCTGATCGTTGTCCGACAGTGTTGGAGCATCATGTGGTCGCGAAAGTTGCGCGGTTTGCTGAAGCTTTGTTTGTCTGCGTTCTTCCAGCTTCTTAAGCGCCTTTATACGATTTGCTTCAATCTTCTTGTGCAGCTCGGCATCACGGATATCTTGAGCATGTTCCACTGGGTGAGCGCAACCGAGTTGCGCCACACTTGGACCATTTGCGTCAATCGAGATAGCATTTGCAGCACCAGCTAGCGGACTTGTAGTGCCTCGAAAATTGTAGCATGGCGAGACCACTTCAACCTCCGCTGTATTCACGTTGTCGCTTTCGTCTTGCTCAATCAGTCCAAGAGTGCTACACGCTTGCGCGAATGGTTTAGCAGCACCAAGCAAGGTGAAACTGGGCGAAGGTTCGGCTTCAGTGGCACTGTCATCACCATCAGACTCAGTCCGGACGGTACGCGCACGAATCGGGGTCGATAAAGTTGATGGTGTCACCAAAATGCCTTGTACCTTTTGAGGCATCCGTGAACCGGAGCGTGATCTTCGAGGCGGAGAATCTCCTTCATTCGGTTGATTGTGCAGCTCGCTGAGACAGGCACGAATAATACCATTATAGGGAAGAGCTCCCAATTGTCGTCCGCCTCGGCGGAGTAGAAGTGGAGAATTTTGTGACTCACACAGCGATCGCGCATAGATAGCGCGCATGTTAGGACTAGACTTCTTCCATTTCTTCTTCGACTTGTTGTCGTCAGCGTCGTCAGGAGATTCAACCGACTGTGAATACAATAGTTGCGATGAATCGTTGATAAAAGAGTCGTCGGCCGCTTCTTTATAATCGTCTCCGTAGTCGTCGTCATCGTCATCATCAGATCTTGCTCCACCTCGAACATCGGCTATGTCTTCAATATACGCAGCTGCCAAGGCGCGAGACGTCTCTCGTCGCCGCTTAGACCGTCTGATGCGCTTATGCCACGGCGAAGTGATGGATGGCGATGCCTTCGTTTCCAGTTGTGAGAACAGTTGCGATTGCGTGGCATCGTACTTCCGCTTTAGTCGCCGAAAGGTCTTAAATTTCTTCTTGGCGTCTGCAGAAGAAGGCGATGTTAACAAGTGGCTTGGAGACGAAGTTTCCGTCACTGCAGGAATCGGAGGTTTGGAAGATCGAGCCATGGCTAACGAGGGTGTTTTCTGCTGCTCAGAGAAAATAGTGGGAGCTCTTGAGTTGCGATGTAGCGGACAGTACGCTAGAAACAATGTTCCACATCCTGTGTCTTCTTCGTCGGGTGGGTCCAGTTGATCCATGCGATAGCGTGCGAAGGCAGCACAGCTGACATGAAAAGCAGCTAGGCATCTTTTGTGTGCACACTGGATGATTCCATAACCTTTCTGTGAATGACATAAAGAGCAGTCGAGCGTTTTGCGGTCTGGGTCTAACCTGCTCAATTCACCAAGAACAAGTACATCATCGTCGCTTTTCTCCACTCGAAACTCCGGGATCCACAAGAAACACTGCACGTGCACCCACTTGCCACACTTCGTTTGCTTCAATGCACCACCACGGAGAGGACAAAGCTGGCATACACGTTGGTTTGGTTCTGCTGTGCATTCGCTTCTTCGTGTCTCCGCGCAGATATCACAGAACCACTTGCCACTAGGAACAACGCTGACCCCATAGCAATATTGATGGACTGCAACATTACATCCGTCGCAGAAGACAATTGGGTCTTCGTCGCATGATTCGCTTTCGAGGCAAATGGAGCAGCAATCGTCTCCCACCTGCTCCGCTTCAGCTTCTTTGAGCAGACTCTGAGCTGACATCTGACTGGTGCCATTTTTCCCATCTGAGTGAGATTTTGAAAATCCCAGCATTGAGTCTCGAGTCTCCTTTTTCTCTTCATGCTTCACTGCAGTGCGGCACTTCCCCTTCGCTGCTATATCGACGACGCTTAGGTCAGTGTTAGCTTCGCACGTCAGCTCGTCCTTGACTGCAAGTTTCACCTCATTTACTTCATCGACACCATCACCATCAGTACCATCGTCAACGAGTTGGTAGTCTCTTTCGTGGAAAGCTGCATTTGTAAGCTTTGCTGATATGCTATGTTTGCTTGCTGCGCAAACATCATATTCGGTGTCGGTGGGCGGCAGCAGAGCAAAAGAGCATGCAGAAGATTCTTTGTCGGACTGGTCTGTGTCGTTTGTCGCATCCTCAATGTCACCTCCTGTACATGCATTTGTAGGGAACAATGCAAATGAAAACCCAGAATGGTCCTCGTCCTTCACTTGTGACAGCTCATGCTTTTCCAGCGGTAAATCTGTTTCGACGGCTGGAGCAATAACCTCTTGCTGTGAGGATTCAGCGCTTTGCGTTTGATCCAACGAGTTGCCATCAACATCGTTCTCGTCGAAGAGCAATTGCCGCATGCCACGTAAGCGAGGGGCAACTGGAACATCTGTATCCGAAGTAGTGTCGTTCTGTTTTACACGCGCCGGGAGGCAACTGGTCTCGCACGAGCTTGGTCGAGGACGAGGAGAATCAGAGGCACGTGTCAAGGATAATACTGCAGACATTTCTTGAGATCTCCCTTTGTTATCGACATCATCTGAATTGATGCGCTGCCCTTCAGGCACGCTTTGGACACGACACAGGCTATCTGCATTAGTCACGTCTAGTTGTGTCTGTGCACTCGACGGACATACCAAACTGGAAGTGTTAAAAAGCGATTCCTGAACATTTGCTGCAGCAGCTGCTGATACTTGATTTTCTTGATGGCATGTAATGCTTCTCTCGGGCTTCCCACCCTCCTCCACAGTAGATGCAATCTGAGATCCTAGATCGACAAACTGCGGGCTAAAGTGCAGGCCCACTGACTCATTCATTGCAGTAAACAATCCATCGGGTCTACCTTCATCACTAAACTCACTATGAGTACTGATGTATCGCCAAGAAGAGCCGACTTCGCCGTCCGCGTCAGCGTTGTTCGCACCCACACTAATTCTACCGCAATCTTTGTCCAGAGACGGCGCGCTACGACAAGCCTTTTGTTCTGTAGAGCCTGACAATGCCATGTTGCTTGAATCTGTAGCGCCCATCTCGATTCTGTTGTCATCACTTTGATCATCGTCGTCGTCCGAGCCTGTCTCCAATACATCCTGTATATTGTGGATCTTCCGCACCAGCGCTTGCAACATCAGCGAGCGAGAGCTATGTCCCACTCGAGTACCTATGCCTTTTCGTACTAAACTACGTGGCTGACGTCGAAGCAAATGCGTCCGATTTGCAACAATTGGACACAATTTATTCCTCAAGCTTGTCGCAAAATTGGACGGGAAATATCTTGTCAGCGCTACTGCTCGCTCAGCATCGCTGAGTTGCCACAAACTCGGGTCAACTGTCCCCCACGCAGTTTTACCACCCACTTGAGATGCATGAAAAGTCGGAATCTTCATCTCCAGTTCTCTCAATTGTGGGCAAATGCCTGGTGGTAACATGCGAGGGCACTGCGAGTATGTGAACTTGCTCTTGAAAGTTGTAAGCGCGCGGCTCACAGTCTTCGCAGCCGATGCACTACGTGCCAATTTCTTCTGCTCATCGCCCTCTGTCACTAGAATGATGACCCTGCCCACGCGCTTGCGTCCAGTTCTGCCCATTCGCTGGATCATTCGCACAGGCGAGGTGAGCGCATCAAAAGAGACAATAAGGTCAACTTCACCAATATCCAGACCTTCTTCTGCAATGCATGTCGCGACGAGGACATTAAACTCACCCAGCCGAAACCTGCGCACGATTTCTTGTTGAACCTTTTGGGACTGGCCTTTGTTTTCTTTTGCTTTGCCAGACGCTCCCTGGCCAATAAATGGCTGTACATTCAAGAGAGGTGCTAGTGGACGCAGAAGCGCTACAATCTCAGACACGCTTGCTCGATACTGCGTGAAAACAATCGCACGTGTGCTAGATTTACCTACCGCATGACGTTGAAAGTGCTCGAGCAGCACTTCACGAAGCTTGACCAATTTCGGATGGCTAGCAGTACTACTAGAGCTGGCAGTCACTGCTAAACTCAATTCAAGCGATTGGAAGTCCGACGAGTGCAACATCTCTCGCTTGGACCACGACATTTTTCCTCGTTTGCGTTCCTCGACCCAGTTCATAATCTGATCACAAAAGCTGCTGAGCCCGTGGCCTATTAACAGGCTTTTGGCATGCAGCAAACTCACCAATAGTGCTAGATCGCTTTCAGCACTGCGGTTTGAAGCGTAACTGGGGCTCTTACGAAATTTCTCCCGCGCTTGCAGTACATACCAGCTCGTGAGTTTCTCCGGATCGTTGTACTGAATAATGTTACCACGGAAGAGTCGCTGAACAATAGGTGTAAAGCACTTCAAAAATTGCGTCTTCACTTCCGTGATCTGGGCACTCAAACGACAAATAATCACTTCTTCTTGACGAGCGTGGGTATACTTCTTCACATCCGGGTCATCAGCCGACCGGCTTTCAATGTGAGAGATACGCAGGTTGGTCACCACGTCCTGGATCACGTCAAACTTAGCTCCAGGAGTAGCCGAAAGCGCTAATACGCGGAAAAACTGCGTCTTCGCTTCGATCTCCTGCACTGCACAACAGTACGCGTAGTTACCAGTGGCACGATGGGCTTCATCCACTACAATACACACAAACTTTTCTGCATCACATACACCTCGCTTCAGGTCGTTCTGTAAGCTCTGTGGAGTGCAGAAGAAGACGCGCCTCGAATTCCAGAGCATGCGGCGCATAGCTGGAGGTACATTTCCCTGCAGTTCTGCAGTATCCGACAATGGAATACCCATAATCTCATGACAAGCTTTAATCTGCTGAGCTACCAATGGTTTCGTCGGTGCCATAAAAACAATTTTTCCAGTCGGGAACCACCGATAAAAATTGTACATGACCACAGCAGCCACAAGTGTCTTGCCTAGCCCTGTCGGCAGTGACACGAGTGTATTATGAAACAAGGCTTTCTCTGCAATTGTCAATTGATAGTCTCGAATTGAGTAATTCGTCGGGTAGACAAAATGCTGCGCAGCTTCAGAATCAATTACTGGAAAGTCTGATGAGGTTTCAATGTCCAAATATCGCAATTTAGCTTGAGAATCTTCTCCTGTTGCATGTCGTGGCTTTTCTAGTAAACGAGACACCGGTTTTGTACCAACAGAAGTTCCAAAAGTTGATCCTGATTGACTTGATGTCGATTGTACTTCCTTCAATCCTGTTGCTATTGTTGTCTGCTGTAAAATGTTGTTTTTTACTGTTTTTTCCTTGTTTAAAACAGCAAAAGACGACGATTTCGAGCATTTAACATGCTGCTGGTTTTCTTCATGTCCTTGTCGTTGCTGTAAAGACGGTACGATTGTCATAGACGTCAATGGTCGTCCATGAAAAGAAAGTCTCGACTGGACCGTTTTCTTGGCAGAATCGGTTCCTCTAGTATTTGTCTGGTGCGACCGACGACGTGGTGTGGCACACACGAAGCACGAGATTCGTGATGCGTCGTTCTGTAGTGTACAAGACGTACAATTCCAGGCACAAGACAACGAAGATATAGCATTTGTGGATACTGTCGATATAGCCTGATTCAGCACTTGTTTCTCCTGGTTATGGGTCTGTAAATGCTTCGTCTCTAGCGCTGTAATCTCCACCAACAGCGCGTCATCCCACTCATCTTCCTCCATTATTATAATACTGCCTTTATTCTGGTATAATTTCAACCAATGACCGGTATTGATAATATTAACCAATCCAATCGTATTGATTAAGAACCAATCCAAAATATGCTTTTTTATAGCCAATCAACCACGTCTTTGGGATTATAACAATAATGGAGCGCTATGGGGTCTTATGTCGCTATTTCTTCCAGGAAATGCTGGTCGAGGGAGATGAGAGACGTATGAGAGAGTCTACGTCGTCCTTATTACTCTCTTATGATCCAACACTATCGGAATTACGGTGTAAATTTCCATTTAAAGGCTCGTATCACTTTCGTCTACAAGTTTTAACCTCCGAGATGTCATATCATTACTATTGGAAGGATTTAATTGATGAAACTCAACTGCTTCCTGTGTCAAAGAAGGGAGAAGTTTATGTGAAAGTATTACAATTAGAGGCAATGGATAAAGAAGAGGAAGAAACATGTGAAACAAGGACAGAGGAAACACTTGTGGACGTGCCAGAAGATCAAGCGTTTAATGCTTTTTTTCACTGGCAAAATCAGTCTCAAAGTCAAGAATCCATGGGGTTTTCCATGCGTCAACCACCGACACAGATGCAGCATATGGAAAGTGTCCTCTTTGGTGTGAAGAAGGCACTTTTGGCGTCAAAGCTAAAGAGTTCAGCCATGGCTCAAACGCTACAGAAACACTCGGCTCAGATGTGGGAAAAGGTCACTGCTGCAGCTTCTGGAAGTGGAGGAGGTAGTAATGCTCCACCCACTGCATTAGCTTTGACGCAATTAGCCAAGCTGATTGGTTCCATGAAAACTCCGCTACATCCTGGCAACCCTGAACATATCGAGATGCTGCAACAATTATGGACGTCCTGCTTTGATACGAAGCCGTTTAATGTGATTAGCTCCGAGTGGAATCGATTAGGATTCCGATATGGCGATTCTGTGCGTGAGATGCAGTTGTTGCTGCCACTACAGTGTCTGGTGTTTTTCCACGAGGTGCATCGGACAGTGGCGTTGCCCATTCTGAACGACCAAAACGGACCAGAGGGCTACCCGTACGCGCTGGTGGGGTCCCAGATCGCGTACTTGCTGGCTGAACTGCTGCAACTACGAGATGGTGGATGTCTGGGCTTGGAACGTCCGTTCTGGAAACTTTTCGAGGACCCGATGGCCTTTTACGAACTATTCTGCATTGCTTTTCGTGCTTTTGATGCATCCTGGAAGCTAAACTCCACGAACACGGCCGACGTCAACTTTCACCTCAACTACGTGGGTGACTTTGCTCAAGAATTGCTCCGTCGTGGCCCAGAGAATGTACCAAATCTCATGGAGCACGCCCACCAGTTGCAGAATTGGTAGGCAGACAACCAAAGGGGCTCGATAAAATATGCAATTTATATACATTGATACCACGTTACGGCTGCACAGGAATGGCAAGCATAGCTTTTATAACATCTTCTACACTTGGTGTTGCAGTCTCGACGGACACGACAAATTGTGGAAACGCATCGTGAAGCTTTTGCATAACTGCCTTTCGTTTCTCTGGACTATCGAGCTGAACAAACACAGCGCTTCCCTTGACTTTATCCGCCTATATACAACCACACAAACCGTTACACGAAACTCGATTTGAACACTACGGAATGTGCGTACAGTACCAGAGTAGAGTCCTGCAAACCTCGAATTAGTGTTTCCTGGACGTCATGGTAGACGAAAACTGTGCCGGAAGTGCTGATCCCGACAATGGTCGGGTCAATCTGGCCAGATATGTCACGGATACCAACTTATCGAAAGAACGTCAAGGCCCGACGAACATTGCAAAAGTAGCGAACAATCAGAGCAAAGTGGCTTACCACAAAACATTGAGCAAGCTGGTAGCAACATGCGGAAACGCACCAGTCTTTGTTCGCTTTGAAACGCGTATATTTGTCCACTCCAGGTGCAGACCACAATCTATAATCATCAACGTGTTAGCAGGCATACACAAAAACTACGCATAATGTTTCACACACGTACAGCATCATGACGGTCTCCTTCCGACGATGTCATTTCGAGCTTGTCGGCGTTGACTACAGCTTCTGGCAACTAGACAAAACATGATGGAACGAATCTAAGCAGACATCCAACCCATCCGAGCAGACGCAAGGACCATGAAACCTCCTAACACACCTGAAACTCCCACTGCTTCTCTCCCGATGACGCAAACAGTGACACAAGACCATTCATTGATACAAGTGCAACCATGCCTCTTTCTCCACCCAGTTCAATGTCAGCAACCACAAAAGTGATGCCATCATTGTCATTAGGAGGGCCATTCCACGGTACAATAGCTCGCTTGTAATTTGCACCCGCTGTGTTTGACCCACCAATGCAAAAGACACGACCAGAAAAGCACCGAGCGAGAAGCTGAGGCGACGTATTGAGATTCGACAGCTCAGACTGCAGCACAATCAGCGCTTCGACTTCTTCGTTCATCTCCATTTGTGCAACCGGCACGTACTCTGCGACCTGAACACGAAAAAGTGAATCTTGAACTAATCTCCTGCTAGAAAGAGCTTCAAAACATGTCGATGCATGTACGAACATTGTTCAGATCTGCTTCATTTCGTCGATACACGAGCACTCGTCCATCACGCATTGCAAGAATGAGCTCGCCATTCACGTGGACAATGTCACAAACATTGAGTGCGACAGTCTACAAGATCCCAATGCACTCGTTTAGTCCACAATATCCACCACACACTATAAGTCCAGAATATCACGACACTTTTCTTACAAACTTGGAGCACAATTGAAGCACATTATTGTCCTCTACAGACCGAAAAACAAAGCATTTGCCTTCTGCTGTTGCTACAATAATCCGAGTCTGTACAGTAACAAGAATCATAAGCATAAGAAAACCAGACCATTCACATTTACTGATATATAACGTACATCTTGAGCAATTGACATATCGAGACAAATGGATGTCACGCTGCCATTTACGTCACAGCTTTTCCACTGAATTAAGTGATTTTGTACAATCTAGTACCATGTAATAACATAGATAGTAAGTTTGTGAATTCACTTAAAACAGTAGTATGTCGTACCTTAAAGACTGCTACGTTTCCTATTAAAGAGCCGACTAACAATTCCGTGACGCCATCACCGTCTACGTCGCCCACCGCGTGTGCATTTGCCAGGATCTTTTCATCCAATTGCACGGCGTATGTCGGTGTTAACTCGAGCTATAGACACCCACATTGTAAGCTTCTACTATCCATGGCAAATGACCGTAGGACGGACGTACCTGACCTTGCATAATTTCGTATCTAACATAAATTGACCTTATATCGAAAATATTAGCTATCACAGGTCAATCTACTTGTATATATAATAGATCGTCCAAATCTTCAAGATATGTATTCTCAGAATCTCAAGCCAAAAGTCGTCATTTCTCATTTTGCCGTCTCCTACGCACTCGTCCCTTTCAATGCTGTCGCTCCCGTCCAAATTACGTCGAATCACTGGACGTCACGTTCTTAGTACCACTTTTTCTACAGGAAACAAAGGACCATTTGCTCGCACTCGCAAAAGTCAACAATCAAGTGGCACAGAGACCATTTTTGAACGTACAGAGCTAAAGCTCCGTCGATTGGCGGTAATTGGTGGTGGAAACATGGCCGAGGCGATGATTACGGGTGTCCTTAAAGAGGGACTTCTTTCCAGTTCGAAAATTGTCGTCTCGGATCCCAATCCAACGATTCGATTAAAGTATGAACACCTTCAAGTGGAAACGCATACACGTAATAGTTCAGCTGTCTCAGGTGCTGACGTAATCTTAGTGGCTGTGAAACCTCAAGTGATTGATGACGTACGTTTTGGTACACAAAAACAACAGCTGGGGAAGCGTCCGTTGTCACATGTCACATAATAAAGACTGTACGTGCTTCCAATTGTAACAGGTCCTACGAGCTGTCAAGGAATCCATGGACTCGGATGCTTTGGTCGTGTCTGTCGTTGCAGGACAAAGTATTAAACAGCTACAGACAATTCTAGGACAAACGAGTCACATTATCCGGACAATGCCTAATACTCCAGCCATGATTGGAGAAGGCACGACCGTCTGGGCGCAGTCAGCACAAGTCACAAGTGTCCAGCATAACCTTACAAAAGAAATCCTTGGATCCTTTGGAGTCGAGGTAAGGTGCAAGTCCATCAGTGGTCGTGTGTTTTTTTCACTGAGACGACATCCTTTGATTGTATGTGATGCAGGTGTTTGTAGACGATGAGAATGCATTGGATATGGCAACGGCCTTGTCTGGATCTGGACCTGGTACCACTGCTCTCAGTCCTATCCAAGATCATGATCCAATCTTATCCACTAACTCGTGTCTACTGACGTCTACTATACAGCCTACTTTTTCCTCGTCGCCGAAGCAATGATTGATACTGGTGTCCACATGGGCTTTTCTCGACCAGTAGCTACGGTACGAAGCCATCAAGTAGCAGCTCTACTCTCTTTCAACTCACCTCTTTTTCTCTTCTCTCTCTCTCTCTCTCTCTCTCTCTGTAGAAATTGGTTCAACAAACAATGCTAGGATCAGCATTATACATGCAAGCTGAGAATGTCCATCCCGTCGAATTACGAAACAACATTACAAGTCCAGGTGGGACCACTGCTGCCGGTCTTTATCGTGCTGAAAAAAACGGATTTCGTGCTGTTATTGCTGATTCCATCTGGGCTGCTTATGAACGATGTCTTGAACTGGGTGCCTCGGAGCCCGTCCAGCGTCAACGTCCTCGTTCATAAAACGGTCAACGTGGTGCTACCACTAAATTTTCAAAAAACGTTTTAAAAAAACCTCAGCCTTATCTCACTTTTCCTACATATCAATGCCAATAAAACCCCATTCCATGCTCTTCTTCAGGTTTATGCCTTTCCATAGACTCTCTCTCTCCTCCAGTCATTTTCCAGACCAAAAGCTCTTCAAGTGGAACCCCCCCCCCTTCCTTCCTTCCTTCCTTCCTCGCAATGGGTCGTCGCTCTCCCTCTCCTTGTCGTAGTCGTAGTCCCCGTCGCTCTCGTCTTCGCAGTCGTAGCTCGTCTCCTCCACCAAAACGGTCCCGTTCTCGCTCTCGTGGTGATCGTCGAGTCCGTTCTCGTTCCCACGATCGTCGACGAGGTCGCACTCGAGACCGTGGCAGCGATCGTCGTGGTCGTTCTCGCTCTCCTCCTGGTCGTCGTGAACCCATTAGTCTTTTGGTTCGTAATTTGTCCCCTGAGACAACGCAGGACGAGCTTCGGCATGCCTTTTCTCGCACTTCAGGCGACATTCTGGACGTTTACATTCCCAAAGAATTCAATTCGAATCGTCCCCGAGGGTTTGCGTTTATTGAGTTTGCCGATGCACGTGTGGGACGTGATGTGAAGTACGAAATGGACCGGTCGCAACTTGGTGGACGGGAAATTGCTGTCTTGTTTGCGAAACAACATCGCAAAAGTCCCCATGAAATGCGACGGATTTTAAACGTCCCAAGTGATGACTCGTACGTTGGTAGTGACAGCATCTAGTGGCACTTTTTGTTGCGATGTTGATGACCTTTCTTTTGATGTTTGGTATGAAACAGACCAAGACGAGACGGATCGCCACGTCGTCGTTCCAAGTCGCGGTCCCGTTCGAGTTTTCGAAAGAGGTGAAGCAACTGTTGAAGTGGTTTTCCAATTGATCAGGGTCATGTATTGACGGGTGGTTGTTTATTGGTGGTTCATTTGATTTGTAGACGCAGTTCAAGTCCAGGTGAGAAGCGGGAGTCGACGTCACCACGTGGGTCGCCTTCACGTCGTGCTTCTCCTTCGCCAAAGCGGTGAGGCATTTGAAAGTGCTGGAGATGGTTTTTTTAGTGTTTTATGCTGAGTTTTTTTTTGTTGTTCGTGTGTACAAAGTGAGGAATCGAGTGTTGATCGGAACTCGCCAGCTGAGTATGTATTGTATATATGCACTGGTTGTTTTCTTGACTTTTGGTGAAGAATGCCGACTAATTGTGAGTTCTCCTCGTTGTGATTGTAGTGCCAAGGCTGATGAGACGATGTCTGAGGTAATGTAAAGTGTTTTTGCTGGTAGGCGTCGTTTTATAGAGTAAACTAATTGTTTTGATGTTTTTGTGTAAATTTTGTAGTGAGGTGGAGACAATGTTGTTCAATGCAGCAACTGATCATTGTCGCTCGCGTTTAGTAAAGCTGCGAGGTTTGCAAAACAGGACAAGAACTGAAGAGGATGAGGCCATAAAGAAACAGATACGGGGAAAGAAGACTTTGCATTTAACTCGATCAAGAATGTTTCATGACGATGCTTGCATTTGAAGATGACGCCACCAAGGTTCAGGATGATGGTTTTTTGTGCTGATCAAGATTAATACGAGCAGGAAAACAGCACGATATTCTGGAGCAATTGGGACCAGATGGGTGGCTTACCAAATGTGCACGTCCTTCAAAATAGTCAGGGTCGACACGCCAGAGACCCTGTGCGATGACCGATGAAAGATAAAATAGTGTCTAGCTGAATTAGACGAAGCTGCCACTTATGCACGACTGCAGTAGCACTGCAGTAGCGAAGCTGTCAAGAGTTTTGTGATCACTAAGTACTTTCGGTAAGTATGATCATGCAGCCTTTGCATGGTACGGTGGCACAAGATAAAAGTTTGGATCGGCAATGCTTGCGACCAAAGAAAAGAAGGAAAGAGTTGTCATCAACAACGAAGCATGCGGCCACAGCAAGAAACTCGGTAGCAAGAGGCAATGACAATTCCTCTAGCATAAATTGTATCAACAGGTTGATAGCGTCGTTGAAGCAATACGGCCAAGCAAGGCAGAAGCAGACGTAGGATGTTCGTATTGATCTCAAGAACTTCAAATGGACCACTTGTCCATTTAAGACATCTGGCGCACATCATGCATCAGAAATATCAAGCCTTTCGTTTTTCGTTCTCCGCTATCTACTGCCTCCGCGTCTACCACAACCAACTTCAAGGATCACCGTGTCAAGTAGCGTTGAGTTTGGAGTGCTGAGCGGCGTTAACGATCTCATGTAGCGTCATGCCATTTGTCGTGATCTCCACCGAGTCAATGCCAGGAATTGCTTTCAATCAAGTTACTAATTCCACCAAGCTTTGTCGAAGAAGTGGTTCACCACCTGTCAGCCGAATCTTCGTCACTCCCGAGGATGCAAACACGTATCGAATGATCTCTAACGAGGTCAAGTGATCTTCAACTGGTTGTAAGAACACACCTTTTTCCGGCATACACTAACGACATCGCAAATTGCAGCATTTCGTCAACAAGATTCGAAGACAAGTGTGGATACATTGAAAATGGTCAATCAATTGCGGTAGCGTTGTCTCTTCTCGTGGCTAGACCTGACATCCATTGATCAGTCAGTACTAGTCCTCGTTTATTCAGTATTTGCATCCTCCATTGAACCAATTACCAGCTGAAATTCGCTGCATCTCGTGGAAAAAGAACTCTTGAATGTAAGCAAGTACGTGGCCAGTCGCACTTTTGTACGACTTGTCGATTTTGCAGTCGCTAAGATTGTCCAGTACGACACGCTTCAAGTCTTAGACGGCACCGTAATCGTCGTCAAGTCGCTGACGTAGCAACAGTCGTGTCGTGAGTTTTGCCCAGCGTTTGAGTACGAGCTTTTGGTTATGAGCAATTGCGTTTTCAATCGTTTGTTCTTGTTTCTCAGCATGGGCATCCAGTAAAATATCTCGATCGGTTTTTGCGACGACAATGCCAGTGATTTTTGGCCTGGTTCGTCCATTGCGTACTTCAAAACCTACAACAGCAGGAGCATAGTCGATCCCCAACGACTCGGCAATTGTATCAATGCGAGGAAGTTGAAGGTGCACAGCACCACGAGGGACATGTGCTGGACTCCAGATTTCAATGTTACCATACTTGTTCTTCGGGACGTGACCATCCACCATCGATTCAGGCTCAAACTCGGTCGTTTGCCATAGACCAAAAAGTGCCAGCGACGGACCACCTTCAGTTGTTGCACTGGTGTCATCGCTTTCGTCATAAGTGTCGGCAACATTGACACCACCCCGTGACTGCCATTTTGCGGGCTTCTGACGTTCGTCGTCCTTTACAACTCGACCGAGACGCCGCCACTTAAAAGCGGATTGAACGGGTTGTACATGTTCACGGAGAAAAACGGATTGACCGTTAAATACGCCGACCACCTTGCGTGGATGAAGACATTCGAACTGACCCAAGTGACGCTCCAGACAATACAAATGATGCTTTCGGAACCCTTCCACACTGCTAGGCATACCTTCTGCCAGCTTCAGTCTCTCCAGCTCTTTCTTTTCATCATCGAGAGCTTTGTCCACGTTCTCAGCTGTCAGAATTTTCGATACGCAACGCTGGTCGACTGTATCTTCGTTACACCGTTCGAGCACTTGCTTCCACCATGAGTCTGCAAGACGCAGTGTCAAACTCTTGCTCCATTGCACCGTATACCGAGATGTTACATCCACAAGCAGCTCGTCGTCCTGGATACTGATTACGTACGAGAATCGGGCCGACCTACCGCGCAGCTTTTCAACTTCCTGTGGACGATCCACAAGTCGGCGCACGACATCGACATGAATCCAGCGTTGCGACTTCTGATCCAGCACCTCACACCACAGCCAAATCACGCGATCTATCGTCTCCGTACTGTCAGGATCCAGTTCCCTATCGGCTTCCTCTTTCTCATCATCGCCGTCACTTGACAGCATCTTTCTCTTGCCCACAACCTTTTGCGATCGACGTCGTTTGCTTGGTCTCTGTCTGAACGATGATTCAAACACCTTCCCTCTTTGCACCAGCAACGGATTCAGCGCACACGTGAGACGATACCGAAGCTGCAATGCTCCACACAATGAAGCAAACAGCAATGGTAGTTCGTAGTCTCGTCCTTCACGAGCGAAAAAGACGTTCAGGAGACTCGATTCTGTCACCATTTCTCCGCTCAAAGTTTCCTGGTCCTCCACCACTTGAAACTCTCGATTGAACCATCGAACCAGCAGTGCCAGTGAGTACGAAAGCGGTTGATGCTTCATCTCAGCAAAGAAATCCACGTCACTTGTAGCTGTAAGAGACAGCAAAAGCCCTTGAAGCAATTGAGACTGACTAAGTCGCATCCATTTGATGCGAGTAGCCAAAAGAAGCAGCAAATGCGTCTGGTGTAAAGCCTTTTCTCGCTCCTTTTCCTCTTTTGTCAGCCGAATGGGTGGCCGTCGTTTCTTGTGCACAGCTGAAGGTGCATCCTGTTTGTCATCTGCAAGTGAGCGATTCACCTCTTCCCAGTCAATTTGCTGTAGAGTCGACACCTCCGAGTCAATGGCTTTTTCTTCATCAAGATGTAACGCAAGTGTTTCTTGAGTCTCGATGGGGTGAATCTCTTGAGAGGATACAACGGTTCCAGTTGGCTGGAATGTGTCCACATCTTCCCAGTCCACATCAACATCTTCCCCATCTTTCTTGTCCTCGTTGTCGTCATCCATCTCATCTGTAGAATACGCAAACTCCTCATCCTCCGATGCCATGACTAAGTGTATCTTTAGTACTCGAAAGTAACTGAATGTCGACTCCCCCACTTCCTGCACTTAGCAGTCCTGAGCGCCAACAATTTACAATACCGACAAGTCGATAACAATTGCAACGGCGACAAGGAACAACAGCACGATCTGCCAGTTTCACAGTTTGTCCGTGATCGACATGGTACGCAATCCATTTCCATTGTCAGTTTGCTGAGGCTGTGGGGTCTGAACCACAGCTTCACGAGCATTGGCTTCTTAGCAACATTCGTCATAACAGCTTGCTCCTCGTCTACTTTGTTACTTGATGTTGCACTGTCCCGTGCTTTGAGAAGATAATGTGCAGTCAAAGCACGCAGTGTTGCAATGTCGTCGTGAAGCACAATGGCACCAGCACAAAACAAACTCTCTCTTCAGCCTTAGCAACGAAACGTGGTTTTCATCGACCGTGGTGCTGGAATAGACGAGATGGCTGCAGTCTTTCCCGCTTCGCCATCGAATACCTGCCTAAAAGCAGCGAAGGACGAAATGTACTGGACACTCGTTCATCCAGCATGCCGCGATCGTCACATTTCGACGCAAGTATCTCAATCGAGGACTGCTTTACAAGCAGTGGAGATGTGGGTGACTGGTTCGAACATGTATCGAGCCCACAAACAAACCGGCAGCAATCTCCACAGGAACATTGTGATAAAGTCTGCAACTGTAGCTCCGAAGTCTCCAGCACTGATATTGTGCCAGCAGGTTATTGTTTTGCACTAGACCATTGAAAGATTGTCTTCTGACGTTGTCCAAGAATGAAATGGAGAGCGCATACGGTTGTCGTAGCAGATATCGTTGTAAGACATTGAGCGTGGAGAAACACACATTTGCCACGCCAGCATGATCAAAATCAATATTTTGCTTCATAGCTGGTGTTTTGCATTGCTGTTTCCTGAAATGAAGTTCACAGACACAGTTGACTCTATAACATGGCTGTTGAAAGCAGTCAAACACAATGATATTGATCTCATTTAAATTTAGCCGACAAGATAAGCGATGAACCTCTCATTATCCGCATCGTAAATACCTCTGTAGAGTTCTGCCAATCTCGTCTCTTGATCATGAATCTCTCCCCGTTTTCTTTACCGTTAGCAGACGAGATGGCTCATCGTGATATTCAAGTACGTAAGGTGATCAACAACGCTGGTACAGCTGAAAGGTGAGCAAGTATTGGAGCAAGTAGGGTCTTCACCATCCGTTTGGCTACAGTTGCAATAATTTGCCGAAAACTGGTCATAGAAGATCTACACGTACAATCATAACAAAGCAAAATGTCAATCCAGTTTCATCTTCCATCGTGACAGTACGTCCCTCACCTCTTCTGATGTATGCTCAAATCCAGTCCACGTTGGTGGAAGATGTGGCACAATATCTCTAAAATGTGTGATCCGGTAGACTTCCATGCCAGCATTTCTCAATCTTGTACTGAAATGAAGATTCCCCACACGTGGTTTGCCAAATGTATAAAGAGCTTTTACTGGAATTTTTTCAATGTACTTGAGCTCAAAAGCACAAATGGCGGCAACAGCTCCACCCAAAGAATGACCTGCAACAATCACGGATGCATTGGGATATTGTGTCCATAATAATTTGTGCAATGTTGTCACGACTTGGAGAGCGACAGACCGATACGCCCAATAAAAGCCTTGATGGACCATAACAGCTGGAAATTCCACATAAGCTCGTTTCTTGAGAAATGTGAGATTATCGAGCCAATTGGTAATGTCGATACTCCCCCGAAAAGCAACAATTAATGTCTCATAAAGCTTGGAATACCCCACAAGACCTTGAAAATTCTCGTTTCCATCATGAACAATTGTTATGTCGATTAATTCTGGGACAAAAGAACAGGGTTGACATGTCCAATTGATAATATTTCGACTGTGACAATAAGAAATTGACGTTAAATGAGCCACATACAAAGCCGTTGTTTCATTGTATTGAAAAGTGGAGGAAGTGGGTAAAGAAAGAAAGTGGAGCAAGAAAAACACCCATAAAAGGAATGGCAAAGGTCCCATGATTCCTCGTACGTCTCGTGTTGATTAAACCCAAGACTGAGTGGGTCGTTGAGCTGATTAAACCCAAAAATGCAATTACATATGGGTTTTTGAAATATACAAGTATACTATTTTAAAATCGATTCTAAATTATAACATTTGACAGGTTGCTTCTATCTACCACATTCAACAATTGCTTTCTTGAAATTACCGGTATATCGAAAAATTCTTTGGAGTTACAAAGACACGGATATCAGACGTTATCTGATTCTATCGAGAATCTCCATTTGGTTTTATTATGCAATACAACCACGAGGATCCGCGACTTGGTAGAGATAAGTAAAGGGCAATATGACGGACGTTGCAACTTCCTTTCTACCACCACTGGATATCCATCCAAATAACACCATCTTTACAGCTCGTAATTTACCACGTCCATTAACATGGCAACGACATGAACATCTGATTCATCGTCGTCTGATTCTCACTCGGATTGGTCAATTATTAATAAAATACAAGGAACCTTGTCAAAATAGTACTGATTTAAGAAAAGTATGGCTCCTCGCACGGAAATTAGAAGTCTTGGTATTTCTCCACTCGGCATCACTACTTGAATATATCAATACGGACAGTCTTGTCCGTCGAATGCAGGCACTTACAGCAGGAATTGTAAACAAGAACATACGACGAACGACATTCGTGACATCAACCAATGCGATAGAAAGTGCAGCTGTGAGGACATCTGATGCTGTGGCTGGAAGCATGGATACGTGTGTACGCTGTTTACCGATGGTGTCATCGGCAGTACATCCAGTATTAACTTCACAGGTCACAGGACGAGACCTAAGCCCGTCATTTACAGGATCCGAGGAGACGCCACCAATTGAATCAGGTGGTGATATTCATCCACTTCCATGTATTTCCCACCTGATCCACACAAATCTGAACGGAACAGAAGATCTACAATATGAGGATGAAAAGAATTCTACGAACAAGAGAAAGTTTACTGCAATAATGCCAAAAGAAGAGCTGGAGACTTTACGAAAGAAGAAACACAAGTCAAGTGAATTAGGGATGCTGCTGTTTTTTCAAGGATATGCGGAATTGAGTACAATTATTTGGAGCTATGTGGATGGTAAGCAGATCATGCGCTCACGTGGTGTGTGTCGTATTGCCGGTGCGTTGGCACCGCTTTTTGTTACGTCTCTGCAATTGAGCTGTAACGCCGTGCAAAGAGCGCTTGCTACTCGCGTTGGCGAGAAGGAGTGCATATTACGCAAGTGCATTTACTTGCGTCAGTTAGAGATTGTGTCGTTGTCGGCAGGAATGACATTTGGAAAGTTGTCAATGCGTGCGACCAACTGTCCGCAGCGGTTCGTCGTGACTCACGATGACCATGAACAGATTGTACTCTCGGTGGCAGAGCAGATGCGTTTAAACACATTTCCGGGCCTTACGCGTTTAAGTATCACGTGCTTGTTCACGAATGAAGAAGCGGACGGAGAAGCCGACGTTTTGTTGAACACATTGATGTTAGGTTGCTGTCCGCGTGTAAAAGAGCTGTGTCTTCCAGGAAACAGCTTTGGCGATTACGGAGCTACTAAAGTCGCACAGATGTTGCGATCACAGGTTTGCCCGGAGCTTACAAGATTGGATCTACGCCGCAATTTTATTGGTGAAGATGGCGTTCGAAGTCTGTGCCACGCTCTGGCTGATGGTTGCGCACCCAACCTTACGGAGCTCTGTCTAGGCGGAAACACAATCACTGACTCGAGCTTTCACCACGTCCTGTTTGCGATGGAGAGCGATCAGTTGCGACACTTGCGCTTTTTGGGTATCGAGATGAATTATTTGACGTCGAAGAGTATGGAGATGCTTGGACGCACGGTCGGCAAGCTGGTTTGCCCAGTTCTCTCTCAAATCTCGTATAGCGACAACAGTGTGAGCAATGAGTCTGCCAAGCGGCTGATAGCGACGGCTGTGTACCAAGAACGTGTGTCGCATACAAAGATCCGTGATGACGATAGTAGACTAGGCGAGAGTTCTTGCGCCGAGCAGTTGTCGGATTAAGAAATACTTTGTGAAGACGAGGTTTTTGTCTTCAAAGTGTGAGTGGAGACGGACGGCGCTGCAAAAGGAGAGAGGACACGCCTAGATCTGTCGTGTTTTGCCTGTTATCACTATCTAACGGAAGAGAGAAGCGTCCACCCATATTTATGGAGCAAGCTTCTTTCGTAGATCGCTTTGTGCAGTGAAACAAACTGGCGAACAGGTCTGGCGAACGGGTCTGTTGATCTAACTCTAGCAAGCTGTCTGCAGATTTTTCAATTCAGCGCCCGCAAATTCCACAGGCTCGTTCCAATTGGACGCTTGGGGATCCAGCGTGAACACAATCAGCTGTAGTTTAAGGTGTGAGGTCACTTCTAGGGGCCGCGGTGTAGGGAGGAAAACGTCGTCTTGGACACGCTCAAAGCGAAAGCCAAACGCCACGGCCTCGTTGAAAAGAAGGTCTTCCGTGGACTGTGCGCGGCACACAAAGCCGCAGCAGAACTTGGTTTTCAGTGGATCGCGCGAGCGCAGCAACAGATACTTGATTGTCTGCAGAATCGGCTTAACGAGAATGGGCCAGCACACGACGTCGGCGCCAATGAGTACATCTACAGGATGTGGGAACGCTTCCTCAAAAGCTTTTACGCTCTCGTAGTCACCCCAAAGGAGCGGCAGCACCTGCACTTTGCTCGAGCCGGCGTTGGTGTGTACGTTTTCTTCCAGCAACTCCAGCACAATATCATTGCCGTCTGTCAAGGCAGTATGAGCTCTGTATCGACACAGCGTCTAGGTCAACTATGAACATGATCACTCTAGGTAGAGACGAGTCAAGACGTACGCGAACTGAGAGGCAATGAGTCCACTGAGCCCTGCTCCAGCACCCAGTTCCACTACCGTTTTGGTAGCAAGTTCCTCACGGTGAGCAACGAGATACCAGGCCAGGAATGCTGAGACTGGCCATATGATTTGTCCCGTGAGGTCGTGGTCAGTGGAAGCAGCATGGGAGGACTGGAGCTTTTGCTTTGTCACACCAAAATCAAATTCCTGCGTTGCATAACTAGAAGACAATACAACGATTTAGCAAGTAGAAGATGTTATCAAATATGAACAAAACTCCACAGTGACCTTACTTGCGATTCACGAATAGATCTGTACTAAAAAAGTCTTCATACTCGTGGTCCTCTTTATGCTCAGGGCAGTTCATGATGATGTCCAGCCATTCAGGGCTTGATACCATACTGTACGTATTCAGTAAAGTGCGACAAACTTCAACATGACCCTCGTTTACAACTCCCATCGATAGGGACACCTCAGACATATGACAATTATCCGTGTCCGATCCACTACCGCTTTGCGACGCCATTGGCGATAACGTGTTTGTGAGCTGCCACAATTGCGACATTCAAACAAATCCGATTCAAAACCTTCGACTTCTCGACCGTCACGCATGACTTCGTATGTCCGTTTCTTAATCCATTCTTTCCGCTGACGTACGAGCTGTGGATTGGCCATGTCCGGACCACTCATTCGCACTAGATTTTGAGATGAGAGTTCACCAGACACGAGTCGATTACGGAGATCGACGTTCCGAGAATCTTTTAAATTAAATAAAAGTGTCCTTGCCTTGTGCGCATACGCTTTCGTGAGCGAGTAACTGCTCAACAAACACACACAACATTTCAATGACAATCATAGCAAACTAGCAAGTTTAGCATCGTATCTCACCTTTGTCCATAGGCAGCATAAAGCTCCGTCTCGACATCAAGAGCCACCATTACGGCATTTGAGTCCAAGGGACGTAAAATATCTGCAAGTCTGGATGAGAATCGACGACGAGCGACTGTAATGCTCGCAAGACTCCATGACTTGCATACACGTCCTACTTGTCCAAAACTAATGATGAGAACCAGTACCTCTTGTGGTAACGTTCCAGCGAATGATGGAAAAGCCTCGATTGTTGTTTTTTCTTCAATTTCGGTCTCCTTCTTCTTCTCTTTGTGTTCAGTCTCCATTGACACAAGTTTGGACTGATACATTAGGGCGATTAAAGACCTCTTGGAATCTGATAATAACAACAATAACACAATAGTCAGACTAAAAGTACTCTTAGTCATAAATACCTTTATAATCTAATACCTCCTCAATCTTTAATCCCCATACGTCATCGTCTTTCGTGTCCTTATGAGATCATTTCATCATTTCCCTTTGAAACTTAATAATGCTATTCCCTCTATTGGAAAATCGTACCTCAATCTCAATTCTGTGTACCCCACACGAACGCTGCCTCGTCATGTTACTTGAATGTAACAGCCACTAAAGCCACGCGGCCTCTTCCTTTTCCAATACAAAATGCGACAACGCGCAGTGAAGAGCGACATTGACAATAGCCATGCTGCACCTGAGCGTTCCATGTCTTCTTCAGCACGTCGTGTGTTAAAGAAAGTCGATGTGTATCCTAAAATGCATCATGAATTCAAAGTCCAGACTGAATTTGGCGCGACAGTCTCGATCATCGCAGGACTTGTCATGATGGTCCTATTTCTGTCCGAAGTGAAAGCGTACTTAAGCTTAAATACGCACGAACATATGGTTGTGGACTCGTCATTGGGTGATAAGTTACAAGTGAATTTGGACGTGAGTTTCCTTGCTATCAACTGTCGTGATGCTCACATTAATGCCATGGACGTAGCAGGTGAATTACAAGTTCATATGCATCACACAGTCGTTAGTACACGTCTGGATGCAAGGGGACAAGCTATTGGACGACCTATTACAATGGATACTACACACATGGAAGAAGATGTGAAGACGGACGTTCCTGAAGATTATTGTGGCAGTTGTTACACTGCAACTCATCCATCAGGAAAAACTTGTTGTAATACGTGTGAGGAAGTGAAGGAGGCTTTTATATCCAGTGGGCATTCACTAGAAGAAGCTGATGCAAAGGAACAATGTGTCCGTGAGATTGTGGAAGTGGAGAAACTTGCTCAGGACGGAGAAGGATGTCGCATCACTGGCAAAATGTTTGTGAACCGTGTAGCAGGCAATTTTCACGTTGCACTTGGACGCACATTTCATCGTCATGGTAAAATGGTGCATCAATTTCGACCTGGACAAGAGTACATGTACAACTCGAGCCATATTGTACATAGCTTGTCATTTGGGGAGCCGATGCCTGGTATCACAGGCCCTCTTGATGGTTTAAAGAAGATTGCAGTAGAGTGTAAGGGATTGCATTTCATCTGTATGAGATCAAACTGCTGGGCCACTAATCGTTTATTGTCTTTTATATATATATGCGTTTTCATCTACTCGATGCAATGCAGTTGGAGGTGCGTTCCAGTACCATATCAAGATTGTGCCTACGATCTTTAGTGACGTGAACGAGAACGCTATTCACTCATACCAGGTACGTGTATATACTTTTGCTGGTGTTGATTGTATCGAGCTGACCCTTTCCATTTATCATACTAGTTCGCGGTCACTCAGCAGAGCAACTACCTGAACCCCTACCACCAAATGACTTCGCTTCCAGGTATGACAAAAGTCGGCATTTTGTTTCAGCAAATAGCTCTGACGCGCTCTGTACAGGAACGTTCTTCGTGTTTGATTTCTCCCCCTTTATGGTGAAGGTGGAGAATAAGCGTATGCCGTTTACTCACTTTCTGACAAAGATCTGCGCCATCGTTGGTGGTGTTATTTCGGTGCGTCCAGTGATCTCAAAACCCGTGGGATACCTTCGTAACGAGCGTCAAACTTACAGTTTCATTTTGCTCGTCGTATGGTGTTTGCAGATTGCGGGCTTTGTGGATTCGTTCATGTACAACTCGCTGCACGTTCGCCGTCGTACAACTACAGGGGGCGGGGTAAGCAAATTCGGCTAAGGCTGGATCTTTACGTAGCAGATTACATGCAGCGACGCCAAGACAATAGACTGTCGATTGTGTCTTTCACTGTCCATCTTTGGTGTTCTCCACGTTTCCATTCCTCCGAGTAAACATTCTCTATTTTACTTGGATCATATTCATGAGCGAAGAGGATGTCCAGAACGCCGCTGATCGAGTGCAGAAGTTATTGTGCGCCGCCCAGTACCCACAGCTGAGTCTACTGCATTTTTGTAGCTAGAGACGTGTTGGATCTCCTACGAGTGATCCACTTTCTTCTGGCTGGACTCATCACGTGCCGTAGCGCAAGTTCCTGGTGAACGATGGCTATAATTTGTACGGTAAAACGGATGTGCGCTTCGTTGAGAGCACATTTCGTCGACTACGCAGCGAGTTTGCTAGGAAATCCACCTCGGTATATTTTACCAGCGCAGTCGGTGCGCCAAGTGATGGTGTATCTTACAAAGCTGCGAGTTTGGAAGACAAACGACGAACAGTGGATATTGACCCTCCTTGTGCGTAGCCTCCACAGCCTTTTGTCTTCGAGATGTACTAACTAGCTTGTGTGTGTGTGTGAAGACAAACTGATCAAAACGGGCACGATCTGCTAACGCTTCTGTCAATGGATGTTGCAATACTTATGTGAGTATTGATAGTTACTCGCCACATCCACATGCATCATATCTGCACCGATACAGCCGCTATCAGTCGAGTTATAGCGGTGACTAGAGGCTGTTCTGGCTCAGTACGTTACTACCAACTGCGCCGTGCTCACGAGCTATGGAGAATGGATGACAGAAGAAAGATGCTTGCTGAAGGTGCTGTGCGAAAACTAGTACTTGTACATGATCGAGTGGGTTGTGTATCGAGACTTGGTACCAAACTGACATGTAACCTGGGTCAGTCACGCAGATCTGGAGCGTACGTCGAGTACACGACACTTTGCTGCACTGTGTAAAGCGGATCGCATTGTCCACTTGATTGCGCGTCGGCAGCGGCAATGAGTTCGCGTTCTCTCTCAGCGTACAGTGAAAGCTGTCGCTCGTTCCATCCATTCGGTCTCGTTGCGAAGACGTTGTGAATTGCACGTCTTTCGAACAGCACTCGGGCTTAAAAAAACTTTCTTACATTTTCTTGGTGCATTCTTTGCCCATGCAGTGGACCCGATTGGCATACGCTCCCTCATCTTGTCTGCCTTTCAAACAGGCACTGAAAATGTGCACGAGCCAGTGACGCAGACTCGATCCTACCATGGCGAAACGATCGTGGAGTTCGTGGGGAAGCTCCTTGGGTCTATTCCTTCCTTCCGCCGAGCAGAATAGAAATTGGAATTGCAGAATTCTGTTCTCGTTTGATGGATGGAGCACATCTGTCAGTGTCCTTCATTCTAAGGTGCATTTGCATCCGTCCAATGTTGAAGTGAAGATACTAACTGACGACATAACCGTGTTGTCATCTCCCTGCGGCCATCATTCGCTCTTCGATTTACGTCCAAGCCCCAACAATGAAGGAATGGTGCCTTTGGATATGTGCTATGACAGCTCACAGTCTGGCTCAGGCTGCGGCTGTGACGTCAAGTAGAACGCCTTACAGCAAGTTGTTATCTTTCACAAAGATCAAGGCACTGGATATGACTTAAATGCAGTTGACTAGCAGCTCAACAAGAGCTGCTGCCCCCCCCCCCCGCTTTCAAAAAGTGGGGCGCTTGACATGCATTATCAGTCCTCGTGCGAGGGATGGAGGAGATGGGATTATAATTCTTTGGCAACACCAGCAAGAGTGAAAACAAGCGACAAAGCAGCTGAACCTCTTGAGGGGGTCTTATGTGATCTACCGTCACAGCGACTGGTAAGTTAGTCCTGCAGAACCACTGATCAAGTCCAGTGCTAAGCACAACACCGAAGTTTAATCAGAGTTGGCCCTTCGTCGATATAGATGGGTCTTTTGACATGATCAAAGCTGTTGCGCGTCGTTTCGTCGCAACGAGCCGGCTACTTTGAAAACGAACCTCCACGCTATCGATTTATTAGCGACTCGTGCAGCAACAGCGTGACATTTTTGCGCCGAAAAGTAGTCCACCGATCTCGCAAGGCATTCGCTAACGTAGGTGATAGACATCATGGCACACGACAGCTTTGTGCCAAACAGCAGCGCCAAGTTGACTTCCAATGATGACGTAGAATCGACGTGGACGCCGTGTTATTGAGTCAAGACGGATTTGGTGCACTATACCAGAACACATGGAACAAATAGGAGGTTGCGATGAAGAAACTGCACTCACGTTGTACATTCACCAAGAAGCAGCGCAAGAACTGCATCTTTGAAACTCTCATCCTCTGCATGCTCAGTAACTAATTTACATCATGCAGCTCGACGGCTACACATTGGACCTTATCAAGTATGCTCGGAAAGGCAGTCCCAGATCTGCAGCATAATTGTGAGTATTCATCAAATGAGGCAAACGGCATGACAGATTTAGCACCCTGGTGACTAACATCGACAATTTACTCTCCATCTGCAATGTTTCTCCACGCAATTCGGTCGAGGAGTGAGCGAACCGCGAATTTAGTTTGTATAGACTATCAGTATGGATAGCCACGTTTCTATATGAGTGCATGATACTTGCACAAAAGCCGATGTCGTTTGAACAAGCAGTGCCCATCGTTTTTTTTTCCTTAAGAGGCTTGGACACTAGGTCTGTAGACGGGCACTTCTACGAAGTTGCCTCGTACTACGAGCACACACCTTATGCACAAGCGAGGAAGCGGTTAGACCGTCTTACCTTCGCGTGCGAGGGTGGTTGGGAGGTTGGTCGACTGCTTAAGCAGTCGTACCACCAGTTGCCTCTCGCTTAAGCGAGAGTGCAACGAACTTCTTAACACTAGAACACCTACGTCACGCAGAAGTCTTTCAACTTCTCGTGCGTGGTGTGTTTGTTTAAGGAAATTCAAGACTGAGATATATTTAATTAATTATAACTAAATATATATTTAACTACTGATTGGCTATATATGTATATAGATCGGATACACGACTCTTTAGAAGCGTATCCTGTCGCATGAACTTAAATCTAGATTTAAGATCGCAACTGACGTCTTTCTGAGACGTCGTGATGCCTAGCTTCAACTAGCGTCATCCCTTCTCATGTGAATCCATAAATGGATATCACATTCACGAGGGTGGATCACCTTTGTGTATCGCACCCAAGTGACAGGCCAAAAGTAATCATGGATACTTTTAGACCAAACATTAAGTATATTACTTAATGTTTACGTGTAACTAGATGCCCTGTTACACCATCCCCCGTTTTAGAACGATTTTTACATTTTGTATAACATCGCCTAGGAGGAAGAGAGACTTGCGAGTCGTTTATAAACGCGCCGCTTTAGTCTACTCAACTCTCATGCCACCGAAACGTGGTAAGGCTGATGGGTCGCCTGTAAAGGCACCCATGCAGTCCAGTACAAAGCGCACGCGCCGCGATTTATCGCAGCCGTCGCAAAGTGCTTCAGGCACTGAGGTGAATCTTCCATCTCACGATAATGTGGATGAAGATCCATCTCTTATTGTAGATTACACCATTGACATCACCCCAAAGTGGCGATGAGCATAGTGCATTGATGGGACATATGTCCCCATCATTTGAGGCACCCGTCCTTGAGGAAGCATCTATGCTTCCTACAAGCGAAGGTCAAACCTCGTCGTCTGCGCCTACGAGCGCAGCGACTAAGACTGAGCGCGCTACTTCGAAAGGAGTAGTCGCGACTCAGTCAGATGTAACTTCTCAAGCTGATGTCTTGACAATCCATAATGGAGAGTCAGACTCAGGCGAGTGTGAGCTTAAAGCTCCACCAAGTACACCGTCGGCCTCACTAGCCCGCCGTCGCGAGGGCGGCTACGTGAGTGGTGGCTTGCCACCAATGCCACCTCCATCTGAGTGGATGAACTCGGATGGGTCTAGCGCAGCGCTTTTGCAGCGTGCAACTATAGACGCTCATAGATTTTACAGCGTCTTTCCTTTTTGGAAAAAGCAGAGCAAAGCACTTGGTCGTGCTTTCCCAATTCCAGTCGTGCTGCGTTCTAACGAAACAGCCGACGACTATGAAGCTGAACTTCGGCGCCGTGTTACCTTGCATGAAGATGCAACTAAACAGCGGTCGCAGCGAATCAGCTTCGCCATGAAGCGTGCGCATGAAATTATGGGTGGTAAGCGACCCCCAATTATTTCTCGCCACGCTTCTTCTGCTAGTCCTTCTGGACCTAGCAGAAAGAAGACAGCTGGTGCTGCTTCACATAAGCAGCCACCAGCCCAGGAACGTCAACGCGCAAAGCGTCCACAGGATCCCACGAGTCAAAGCTCGTTGGGTAACCCTTCCACTGGACAAGGATTTGGAGCTTTCGCTTCACAAACCGGTGGGCCAACAGCCTTCCAACAAGGAAGCGCGTATTCCCTTCCGTGTCCACCAACACAGGTGGCGCCCGATAGGAGTGGCGATTACGCCCACCTACTCGCGGCTGCCTACCCTGCTGCTGTTCAGTCGCAGGCTGAGTCCGCTGCGCTGAAGAGGCAGGTGACAGATCTCGAGAGTCAAGTCTCGCGACTGACCTCGGATCTGCGTGATGTGAGGGCGAGGGATCGTCAGGGGTATGACCGCCTGAAGACCCGCTTGGACATCTTAGAGCGACTGGTGATGAGAGACCCGCATCAAGCGCGGAGTCCTCCTCGATCACCGAGTCCTCTATCGCCTCGTTCATATACAGGGAGCCTCTCGGCTTCCTCGTCGCCTGATCGGCCGCGACGCTCAACTCACAGTCGACGTCACCATCGGTCTCGTTAGACCGATGTGGATATGTGATCTCTTCTGGATCAACATACCGCTTCAGACGACCCACGTAAAGTACGGGGTGCGTCTTCATATACGGTGGGAGAGTGAGCCTATAATTTAGGTCTCCAACTTCTTTAACTACTGTAAAGGGCCCAATGAATCGGGGCAATAGCT